GTACAGTCATAACCAAGTTGTCGAACACCCTGTATTATATTTTATTATTAATTCGTCTTATTTACACTATACTATACTAATTATACTTTTTGTGATATAGGAAATGTTCAAGTATGATAGATTACTAAATTTGAATAAATTATATTCTAATGACATTTATGGTATTGTTCAAACATACGGCATTGAAGCAGCAAATAGAATTATTGTAAAAGAAATAAGAGATGTGTTCAAAATGTATGGTATCACAGTCGATTCTCGACACTTATCGTTAATCGCGGATTACATGACATTCGATGGTACATTCCAACCGCTTAGTCGTAAAGGAATGGAGGACTCAGCTTCTCCTTTACAACAGATTAGTTTTGAAAGTTCCCTTACTTTCTTGAAAAACGCTACGTTACAAGGTAAACAGATAAAAATATTCATGAAGAAGAAAAAAAGAAAGTAAGAAATCTTAACGAATTAGGTTTTAAACATCTGTACTTTTTATTTACAGGAAAACGAGATAACTTGGTATCTCCATCTAGTAGATTAATGCTGGGTCAACCTTGTAAAGCTGGTACTGGAGCGTGTTCTTTATTAGTGAAAATACAAACACAACCGGAAATTGTTTTATCAGGGGGTGCATAACTACATGAATATTAAAATATTTTTAAGAGTTTTATGTTAACAGTAAGGATATATAATTATTACATTGTACATACATATATATTTTTGTAAGCTGATTATATTTTATTTTGCAACAAAACTTGTATAATAAAAGTGGCAATGCATTATCAAAAAATTCTGTATCTCCTTATTAATTACTTTAAGAATGAAACACAATTTCATTTTTAATGATTATAATATGGCTTTTGCTAGTTGCTCTTATTGATTAATACTAATCAATAGACAAATCTGCTTAACAAAATTTTATTATCGAAATCAATTTTATATTCACTTATATTTTAGAATTGTGTCTTTAACTTTGTCATAATTAGCACCTGCAAAGGATTCCACCTAAAAGTAATTTAACACCTTAGTAGTACTTAACCATGATTTTCTTTCTAGATAATTTAAAGAGATACATACCACTTTGCCATTCTTGATAAAAACAAAGGTGGGCATACTATTGATATCATAATCGGTAGCAATATCTTCACGGACATCAACATCTACTTTCACAAAGATAACATCTTGCATTTCCTGTTAAACAGAAAAATGCTGCATGAAATATTTAATAGAAATTTAATCAAGTTTTTATTTAAATAAAGTAACAAACCTTTGACAATTCTTCTATTTTAGGTGCAATCATTTTGCATGGTCCACACCATGTTGCATAAAAGTCAATCACAATTAACTGGTCTCCTGCCTTTTCAATCTTACTCTTTAAATCCTCCTATAAAAATAGTTTGCAAATAATATCCTATATGCTTAACTGTACTAGCTGTAAAAACTATATCAAATATATGTTGAACTATGATAGAAACATATTTTATATTCTTTATAAGATCTTAAAGTACACTCACAATAATTGCTAAAAAAAAACAATTAATTTTGATAGGAGATAATCGAGGAATGATATCATTTTATTTTATTTTATACAATTTTATATTTCTACCGAGTATCATTTTGAAATTATTTAAAAACGAAAAAGATGTAAAACTAATCTCAGTGATCTATAATGATTTATATTCATCAGAGAATTGATCATTGTTGCCTTATATTGTTTCGGGCATAAAAACACATGCATCTATCATGAAAGCACGCTTACATCGCATGCTTGAATAGAATGAATCATTCCAATGCCATGAACTACATTTAATACATAGTCCTTGTCAGAACAGAACGAATGTATACGGAGGAGTTTTCATCTATTCCGCGCATGTTGGTTCTGATTGGTATAAGATAGATATAAATCGTTTACGATTGACGTAATGCTAGGCGAACGCCACGCTTGAAAATCCTCATCACATATTCTGTGGCGTACCAACGGGATAAACTAAAGCCGGTACACATGATTCAAAAGAAAACCTTTTTATCACTGTACAATGAAATTAGGATAATAATTTAAGTTAACCCTTCTCATGTTGTAAAATCTAACAGTTTAAACAACTTTTTTTTATACATATACCAACTGTGCGGTTTTAGTTTCCGAGATATTCTAAAAAAAAGTGTCGGCTTCGTTACATTGAATTTTAAGCAATGATCTCATACCGACGTATTATCTATTGTTGCTATAAACACAACAGCATAAGGACTAACCTAATCTAAATTCAGTAAACTTGTAGAAAAGAAACTGATCAATTAGCTAATCAGCGGATTAAGTTAAGTTAGGTTAGATTAATATCTCGATTATCGTTAGGCGACCGGCCCCAACCAGTCCAAAATTTGTAATCATTGAAGTTAGTTAAGTTTGATCTTTAAATTCACCCGTTATACGTAGTACGATTACCTGTCCCCGTGCTTTTGTTTATAGAAACAGGAGATAAGTGGCAATCGCATACTGTTGCATACGTTGCCAGAAACGTACATGTGTAGACAAAATTCAATGCAATGGTGTCGACAATATTTTGCAATTACGTATCTTGGAAACTTAAGAATCAATAATTTCAAGGTCAACCAGTTTTATCGAAAGTAGAATAAAAATCAAACGAATTGCACCATAATAAAATGTAACTCCGTTTTCCTCTATTACCGAAGTTAATTGGCGTGATTACTCAACACGTAAGAATTTCATACGCGTATTAGGTAAATATTTGGAGCATGCGTAGAAGAAACATGAAAATAAATATGTTTAGTTACTCACGACACTCTCAATCTCGACGACCATTTTTATTCTTTTGTAAGTAATGGGTTCTGAAGCTAAGCACAAGTAGCAGTGAACTGCTCGTTTCAATACTTGGTTAGTGACTGAGCGTGACTGAGCGGCTGTGGTCAAAACCAGAACTTCAGAACTCGGAACCTCGATAGTTCCGTTCTTTTCTACCTTTCTCTCTCACTCGTTTTCTCTTTTAGATTTGCTTTCTTTTTTCTATATTTGTATTCTTAGGGTGGTGTCACGGTTAAACACGAAGTGTGGCGAAGCAAAGCGAAGCGTGTACCGACAGTACCGACCATATTTTACTCGTAGTTCAACGAAAGACCTCCGAAGATCCGCGAACATCTCCGAATGGCGTAAATTCTGTTGCATGTGTGTAACTTCCTAGTAACTAATGCTGTAACGAGGAAGTGGATATCTTTACCAAGAAAATTCGATAGATATACATATATGTGTGTATAGATTTGAAGTCGCACTATTGTACCGTGAAATAAACTACATATCCATCATTTTACACTGTTTTCAAATTTACTCACCTCTTCTGTTAACTTTAATCGCAATACAGTTATTACCACACATGTTTTTTTCTGTGTCAATGATAAGATATTACGCGGACTTTGTGTTCTAGCGTTACAGAACAATGATATGTACAAATTAAGATTTTTTTAATATCTTTCACTTGATTTCACCTTTCATTTTGCAATAAAAGTACATACATACTTACATATATTGGCTTGGATTATTGTGAATTATAGGATATAAATTTATTAGTTGAAATAAAAAATATTACAGAATATTGGTTTAGGAAATACTTATATAATTATTAAATACTTTACATAAACTGAGTAACCTTAGTTTTGAAACAATCTGGGTCAAAGCTATTGAGTATCATAAGATCGATCAACCTATGGCAAGAATACGTCATGTATGTATATTATTCACAGTAAGGATCAATTTTATTGTACAAGGATAAAATTTACAGGAAAACAAACGCCGAATGAAACACGTCGAAGTGATGACAAAAATTTATTTAAAATGTTGATTCATAAATAGCTGTAACGTTAGAGTGGCATCACGTAATATGTTTGATTAGAGCATGACGCTGTCATAAATGAGTTGCAAACTAATTTTCAATGTTTGTATTAATATGATTCTTTTGTATTTACTTGTAATAATATCATATTAAAACCGATAGTTTAGATATCATATTCACATTTTGAAAAATATTTTCGGTCATGTGAAACAGATACTTATGTGTGTACCTACATACATACATATATATATTCATGATGTAAGCCATGAATGACAACGCAGAAACCGATAATAATTGATATGTTGCAATCTAGTAAATGGTTTTTTTCAAACGAATTGTTTAATTTACCTATATGTGTTTTGTTATTATATAAAACGAAATTATTTTATTGTAAACTATTGTGCAATATTTTAACTATTTATTAGTTATTTAAGTAAAGTATTTGACAGTTAAAGTAACTTATTGTCGAAGTCATTCTAAGATTGCATAGGTAAAGGAAACATTTTTTTATGAATTGGAAGGTAGCGAATTGAAATACCGTATCCGATATAAAATATTAATGATAGATTGACGCGAATCGCCCGCGGGAACAGGGGTTGGGGTAGTTTAGAACCGATGATGTAGCACGAATGATGTTTACGCTCAGACATTAATAAAAAATATATCGATTGATAAGTAAGCGAGATAAGAAGATTACTCGAGGTTTCTTCGTATTGATTAAACATTATGTTTCCTTTCAAAAAAGACCGCCATACAATTAGACTATTAGCGACCTCTGCAAGCGAAGTGCTGAACTATGCAGGCAAAGTTATCGGCTAGGTTAGTTACCATCAATTGGTAATGTCACGTACTATATACCGATTACTATCGGTAATTTATCAACGAAAGTAAGTTAACATAACTACAGGGGCTATAGTAAAATGTATTCCCAGATAAACTTTGTTCATATTATTATTATCGTTATCATGAAATTTAATTAGTTTTGTAAAAGGTATTTGTAAGATATTACCTTAAAATGTTCACTGTTTATCACGCGATATTTATGACTTGAACGCGAATGTTTAAACTTCAAATGTTGGGGCATAGAGTGACCGACCCGTTCCGAATGAACAATCAATACGGTAATGGTTTTATCACGATTCTATCACGCGTTCGATCATTGTTATTAAAAACAATAGAATTTCTATATATGTCGAGTTTGTTGAGTTTTTAATCGCCGCAATTGGATACGACAAAATGTAAGTTACGATGACGAACGCGCAGGCTCGTGGAGGGCGCGAACGGTCTCGATCAGAGACGTGACAGAGTGAAACGGAACAGAGCGAAAGAGCGTTGCTAAATATAATACGTGAAGGCACGCGATTCTTTAACGGTTGGGGATCGCAGAGTGGTCATGAACATCCGAAAGCACAAACATCACCGTCGGTAGTGATCTCGTTATATTTGTCGCAGAGATAGACACCTAGTTTCCACTTAAAAAAGCCAGGACATATCCAGAGAACAAAGCTCGGTTTGGCTTGACAGAAGAATATCAGTTAATCGCGTGATTGTGCATGAGTGAAGATTTTTGGAGGACGGTGGTTCTATATGTATTTTAGATATCCTACCGATGTCGTCTCTGTCGCGTGATAACCGGCTAAAATACAGGTAAATTCTACTTTCGAAGAAATCACAATTCTGCTTAATAGTAAATGATGTAACATCATCTGTCGTGTTGACCGATGAATCACGAGACTGATCATTAAAATTAGATGTCGAAGAAATTATTATGAGAAATGATAATTTGTTAAAAACCTGATGAACTAGTTTTTTTTACAACATGCATATATTTGTTTAACAATTTATACGTTAGTTAGTGACCAAATTAACTTGGTCGCCGTTGTCTCGTGACTGTTTCCTTTTTATTTATTCTTAGAGCCTCGTGAATCGACCACGACCGTAGAAACGTAAATATCTAAATTAATATAAGATTCATATTCTATACGCAAGGTTAATTACATTCTATGGTTTTATGAATAATTTCCGTGCTCGTCATGCATGTGACATATTTCTACCCAATTTATTGGAAATCCTAAATATACTTATTTCATTATCTCGAAGTACGCGTTGCATTGTACATTGCTGCCTGAGTTCACTACTACTATCGAGTATTTTTTTGAATCTTTTTGTTTTTATAATCGATAGATTCAAATAGCGAATCTTTATTTATCGATTTGGATGAAACTTGATAAGTTCTGTTTCTTAGGGTTCTATTTCAGTACATGCAATACATTGCGAGCATGGTCGAAGTTTCACCATAAATTGCGCACCTAAGCTTTTAACCAGTGTGCGTGTTTCTCTGTATAATTACTAACCGATACGATTATCTCCATGTCAACTAACCTGATTTACCTTGACTAATGATGTAATAGGAAGAAGTATTTTTTCTTTTTTTTTTTTTCTCAAATGTACGACAGTGAAACAAAGACACGATCGAAGATCGTTTGGACAGCCCTTTTCGATTTAATGGACTAGGGGAGAAAATTGTTGGAGGTTCGGCTCCTTTTATAGAAATTCTCGATCAATAGTCGCACAACTGTGTGCCAGGTCGTGCACAGTTGGTAAATATGACAACCGTGTTCGAATTGCGTTTCAACGTGTTTCAACGTATTATGCGACATATCTCGGTTCATAAGAATTTCGCAGCCGACTACTACTCGTAGGATATCAAATTTCGTCACGGAATGTCCAGCTGCAATTTCATCCATTAATTTGCTGTCGCGCTAAATTCGAACGAATATAAGAATGCCACGCGATGATTTTATTGTTTCCAATGAACTTATATAATTGGCTTCAACTGGGTTCGATAATGAAAATTGACGCGTTGATAAAATTGCGTCGGGTTAAAAAACATTAAAGTAAGAAATATTCATGAGATTATAGAGGACAAATTTTTTCCAAGGTAACTAGACAATTGTTTTGTTATTTCTTTTCTGAGTTCCATGTAATTAATAGCACAAATTTTGGATGAATGGTTAGCGATTAGTAACTAACGATTAGGGATATCCAGTAGCCAAATGGAGTCAGAAATTGAATTAAAAAAAATCATGGCTCGAATTTGAAAAATAAAACAGCTGATTTTCTATGTTGAATAGAAATGAATATTCAGAAGCCCGAGGGTCTTTTATCGGTGGTTTTACCTACTGAACTCGCCTCTTCGGTCAGTTCACGACAGCTGATTATAAATCAGGACCAACAGGTGTGTTCGAGACAAACAATACAAGTACCTACATATCTATCTATTGTCCTTCGATTTTTCTATTCTTTTGTTTCCTCGCATGCTCTATTTTGCACCCCTAACGAGTATTTTAATTTCCATTTAAAGTTCTTGTAAATTTTTATATCAAAAATTAATCTTTTGTGTATGTATGTAATTTTGAATAGGATGAAGAAGCATCGGATTGCCCGCTTTTGACCCCTAGCCCCCCTGGCGTGGAACCGAGCAACGCCTTGGAATCTGGCGCGATTTTCGTTTCTCTTGAAGGAAATCCAGTCGAATCGATTCCACCGCCGACGCTCGAGAACATTAATAAAGAGGATGGACTTAACGAATTCATGAATATAGTGAACAGCTCGAGCAGAGTGCTAAACGATGGTACGTTTCACCTTGTTTCTTTAACGTTTTAGCCTATTTCGCATAAGAAACTTACATCATCATCCTCGTAAAGGTTTATGACCCTCGGGGTTATTAATCGTTTCGTCGGTTCATAACAATTGCAAAACTTAGCCAGAGTTTTAATTTTAATATGCGATCGCAAATTTGTTGTTCTTAGAACCTAGTTCTCGTGATCCGATGGTGGAATCGACTAGCAGCGGCAGCAGCAGCGACACAAATGGTCCCGTTTGTGCACAATTGTTGACGCAATTGAACACGGCCTATCAACATCTTGCTCCCGATGCTCAAGCACTGGTGAGAGCACTTGACAGAAATTCCCACCCTTTCTGATGCTAGACTAAGCACTACGATCAAACGTATTATACTTAACCTATTAGCTGCCACGATCCCCCTTTGGGGATTTTGGAATTTTACGTACACCACTCGGCGCCAAAAATTTGAAAGAGAAAAAAAAATTTGGCAGTTAATGGGTTAAAGTAATGAAATGAGTTATTTCACTCGTTTCATTAAGTATATTACTGATTACGTTTAATATAGCAAACGTAATATGTGTGAAATTAATCCTTTTTGTCGAAAAATATTTTTCTTGTATAAAAGGATTTACCTAATGGTTTTATGTCGCATTTCATCTAATAAGAAAGAACGAACGTGATGAAACACGATGCGCTGAGCTAGTGACGAATTAATTATATTACTGTGATACGTATCGATACGTGTATACATATATACTATTTTAGCTTTTTGCAGATTATAACACTTTGATAAAATGCTAACGAAAAGTGATATATTTTATGTAAATAATTAACTACCTTTATACGCAAAATATTTACCAAAAAAATCATCGTGTAAAGCAACGTGTTGTTTGTTTTTGTTTGTTCGATAATACACGCTTTGTTTTGGCCACGGCCGATCACCTGTCCTACCTTTTTAAGTGTGTCAAGTTCAATTGCATCTGTGCTTTTATTTTTGATACTACAAGTCATCGTACACACTTCATACTCGGTATACCAATAGACGAACTCAACAGTCGAGTTCTTCATTGATGAAATGTAATTGTCATCAATCTTTTTTATTCTACCAATTGCATTCAATTTGTGCTGGTAATTCTCTTTGACTTAACATCTCAAGAAATAACATATTCCTCTATATTTGTATCTACCGAAGAAGTAAAAATAGAAAATCAAATATTACCTGTCGTTTCGTTATGTAATCGCTGCTTTAAACCGTAGAGTAATATGCCATTCTTCATGGTATCGATCGCTTCGTTTACTACAATAGATAATTTGCTAAAGCAGTAAAATTTCAATGATTCACCAGACGTTTCGATTTGGCTGAAACGTCTTTATATAGGTATCATCATACCTAGATAATCCGCTGTCGTTTGTCCGTTGATTAATGGCCAGTAGTTCCATTTTGAAAAGTGATTTGCAAACACTCTAATCAGCATATTTTCATCTGCTTGGCAGAAACGAGGAATATCTTGCCAAACGTTGCGTCCCGTTTTTGCAATACATCCGATTGGTCATATCTTTTAACGGATTAACAAATACTATTGTAGATTTAATATCGATTAAAATTCTTTCCCTTTCTTCTATCAACATCTTTGATAATTAATATATTTTGTTGCATACCTGTTCAAATTAGTGGACATTGGTGGTACATTCATTTCACTCGGTTTGCTCTATAAGTTTTTCACTATTTCATCATTGTTTAGACACGCTTAGGACTATAGGTATATCATAGTTGCAATAACGTCTCACGTGCTGCAACTTCTGGCATGCATAACATTGTATTTAAATTCCTATCTAACAGGTCTTATTTTGGTCCTATCGTATTATGTGTAAACATTTATAATTCTTTTTTTTTTCAATAAAGTAATGGAGGTGATGGTGGTGGTGGTGATTAAAAATAACTAGACTAGTATCACGTCAAAATTGTACATACCAGTTTCTTCGTGTTGCAGAAAATTGTGCGAAGCATCGTTGTTACCCATGTTCACTAATCTACCGCTTGCCGCTTTCCTAACATCTTTGTCAACTTAAACTGTAACTGTTTAGTTTTACAATCAGGAGAACGGAGGGAAACCACCGTTGGTTGGGATTCAACTGGTGGTGCCAAAGCCATCCAAGGATTATCGTTTCATGAAATGGAACTGGCCTCTCATACGAAAGACTTGCTTCTGGTCGTTGATGTCGGTACTAGCTGGATGTACGGCCCTCGTCATCGGTGTTATCGCTACGATGCCAAGAAAGTCTGTAATCAACAAACACTTAACAAAATTGAATCTTTATCGTTTATAATTCCGAACGAAAATAAAGTTGAACCGGTTCCAACAGGTGCGATCCAACGGTGCAATGGTGGCAGGGTAGCGTCTTCTACGAGATATTCCCAGCATCTTTCCAAGACTCGTCGAAAGGCGGTGACGGTATCGGCGATATTCGGGGCATCACGATGCGTCTGGATTATTTAAAAGAATTAGGTATTCGAGGGATTCGTTTAAACTCCATCTTCCCAGCAGCGCATTATCCGGAGTACTACTCGAACATCGACAACCTGACAGACCTGAACGAACACCTGGGAACCCTGGACGACTTTGCTACGTTGGTTCGTCAAGTTCATCGTCGAAACATGACCATCCTCTTGGATCTACCTTTGTATCCATTCGTAAAGACATTGGTCGAGGACGATGCGTCTGTTGGCAAGATAAACAAAACGGAGAAAGCAGTACGCTTCGAGCGCGAAAGAAGAGACGTTACCGATAATGATGACAATGATGACGACGACCCGGTCCTGAAGGATATCGCACCGACGACGCCTTCCATGTCGGTTCAAGCGATCCGGGAGGCTCTATCCTCGATACCACCTCCTTTAGACCAATCACAGCACGAAGCTCTCTTCTCGAATCCTCTGAAAGCTGTAACAGAGAACTCGGTTACTATCGCGATCAGGACTTGGTTGCAAAGAGGAGTCGATGGATTCTATTTGAAAGGATTGGAGCATTACGTGGACGAAGACTCGTTTGCGAGTAATCTGAAACATTGGAAGTCGATTTTAGGATCCGAAAGAATACTTATTTGTCACGTGAACGCATTGAACGCTGCCAAGACTGTCGCTTCGAGGAACTCGATTTTGACCAGGATAGATCTGCTCGACGTTACGTTGCGCGTTGCGAATGGTACGAAAGAGATTAAGAGACAAGTGGAGGATATTACCAGAGGTGTGCTGTTCGAGAAAGCTGGTTATCCTTGGGTACACTGGTCCATCGGTGGCGTGGACTCTGCGAGGATAGCCTCTACCATTAGCGTGAAGAATGCCACCATGGCTGCTACTTTGTTAGGGATGATGCTTCCGGGAACGCCGAGTATATTTTACGGAGACGAGGTATACAGCTGGAACGTAACACGTCAATCTATAAGTATAATATTGATAACGGCTGACGATACAATGGTACACGTTGGATCTTGAGTACCTACCACCGGAAGTACTTATTACTGTTTGCATTTATTCTAATGTACAGAATCAATGGTTCAGGAAGGTGAGTCTAGAGCACGGGATAAGAAGAAAATATTGTTGTCTGAAATTATGTGGAAAGAAATTAGAGAAAATATAGCCATTTTGGCAATCGATAGATCATAGAATATTTTTTTCTTATTTTGTGATCTAGATTTACCTCTTCGAATATTACCAATTCTCAATTCTCTTGTGCCGACTATTTAACGACATGCTTTCATAAAGATTATTCATCTATGATTAATAATTTTCAAGTTCCTTTTTTCTATTTAGATAGGTATCGTAGACTGCGAATGCGAGGATCACAAGGATCTTTCTCACGTGCATAATTTGGCTCCCATGTACTGGGAAAAGAACGACGGGTCTGGTAATAAATTTGCGTCGATCGGTGTTACCGCGTGGCTTCCGGAAGCCACGAAACCATTAGAGACAAGTCTGATGGGAACAATTGCCGAAATGGCGGATCTCCGATCTCAAACTACCCCGATTTACGTTAAAGCGGTGCTAAAGCAGAACCAGGTGCTGGCGAATTGTGATATTAGGTAATATATGTATATGGATAACGTGTTGGCTAATCTTGGATCACACACCCACGCACGTGACATGGAACGAGTTAATAATATTGTTAAATATTTGTTACAGATACGCGGACGACGAAATGATCGTAATAGAACGATGGTACCCACGCCGAAATTCCTACGTTTTTGTAGCGAATTTAGGGAACGAGACGCAAACAAAGGATTTATCCTTTCTTTACTATGGCGGCCATGTCGTGGTTGGTCCAACGTACAGATTGAATCGAGACGTCTACTTCAAAGAACTTATTATACCTCCGGGAGAGGCTTTCGTCATAAAGCTCGATAAATAAGGATCTAATACGAAATCGAAATCTATACGTAACACGATATCTATTCGTCTTTTTTAATTGATGTTTTAACGTAAATTTGTGATATTTCGTTTGGATATCCCGTTGACGTTGCGAACGTTGTACAACGAATATTGAAATGCAAAAGTTCCTATTTATTGCAAAAATCAAGTGAATCGAGTCACGGTTGGAGAGAAGATGAATCAAAAAATCATTGTAAATCAAAATTTAGATTAAATTTTTAGTCCTGTTAATGATATCGATGAAGCACAACGAATGTTCGAGCATTTCACATTCCAAAAAGAAAAAAAAAGTTACATAGATAGTTTTCACGTTCGTTTGTGTTCATCTTTGACGATGAAATTTCTCGAATCAGTCATTGCTCCACTATTTTGTACGTCCTAATTGTTTTGATAATAAAAGTAAAGATACTTGCGGCTCTATTAATTATTATTCTTAATCGTACTATAACTTCGATTTGAATATCGAGCTGTTTTACGTACAAGGAATTTTCTTTGTATCGTCGAACAGTTTTTTTTTTTTTTTTAAATCTCAGGTCGATTTGAAGCTAATACGATAATATTTTTATAATATATTTTATCGCGCAAACTGTTCGCAACGTGTGTAATTTTCACTTCTTTTATATTATAGCCAATTTCGTACCGACCGAATAATGTTTTATCGATGCGTTAATTAAATGGTGCTTATGCGAAATCAAATATTTTTGTACTTTCATTCAATATCACCATGACTACTAGTCATTTATTTTTGCGTCGTCTGAGTTGAAAATCACTGTCGTGTTTCTCGCTAGTACTCGGATATAGCAATGTTTCAGTTATAAGGGGAATGTAAGGGAGTTTGAGTCAGAGAGGTTTTCTCGAGCAACACCGCGGAGCTACAATCGGAGTTCGTCAGTGACTCTCATGCTCTGAGGAAAGTCCCTGGACCTTTGGCAGAAAGTGCCGTAGCGCAAATCCCGCTGCTAGCCTGCTGCCATCTTCTCGATGAAGAAAGGAAGCTTCGGCTGATCTTTCGAGTTGGGCCGGTAGTGTATTGGTCAAAGCAAAGTAATGTGTCGAGACAGGTTTTTTCTCCTTTCCTCCTTAGTCCTTTCAAGGGCTAGGAGGGAAGGCGTGAGAATTGTGTCCACCCAAACAGGGCTCATTACGAGGAAACTTCTCTTTCTTTTTATTTTTTACAGTACATCTTTCATAAATGCTTGTTGCTGCCGCATAATGTGTTGTGAAAGCATATTATTATCATTATTATTACCTTCTTCACTGTGGAGTCTCTTTTATTGAAATTATATATCTATCTGTTACAAAAAATTATTACTATTCTTATCATAGTAGATTAATAATTATTTGTAATACCTTTGTAAGCACCGTACTTTCACGACAATTTGCATCCTCGAAGACAGGAATATTTAGGATAAACTATCTGCTTATTTCAAGATAGTAAAATATAAATTGGACGTAGAAAAAGACTTTGCTTAAATATCGTATACTTTTAAATTGCTAAAGTTTGACTATCATCAAGATGATACTTGGTTGTTCTTGTAGAAAGCCTGAAAAATAAAAAATAAATACGGGTTATCTCGATAACCTTAGAATACAATATTTTTTTCGTTTACTCACATTCTTTGCGATTTCGGATAAACTGTAGGCCATTGTAGAACCTGTTTCTTGCACCATATTGTAAAAATAACCTTTCCTTTGCAATAGAACATAGGGATGATCGTATTCCTGCGACATTAATACAATGAAGAAATATGTAGAATAAAGTACCATTTTTCCGTTACTTACAAATAAAAGTGTAAAAGAATTTGTTGATTTACCACTAAATGACCTTGGTCCATCACAAGTATTTTATCGCTATCCATTATGGTATTTAATCTATGCGCTATAGTGAATACAGTACAATGCATAAACTTTTTCCTAACAGTCTTTTGAATCAAGGAATCAGTTTGTGGATCAACATTGGCAGTGGCTTCATCGAGAACCATTATTTTATTATTTCTAACGAGTGCTCTAACAAGGCATAGTAATTGACGTTGACCAACGCTAAAATTTGATCCCTCCTCGGCTACTTTACTATTTAAACCTGCTGCCATTTCTGAGATACTTTCCTTCAATTCTACTTCTTGCAGCGCCGCCCATAAATCGTTGTCAGAATATTCATCAAAGGGGTCTAGATTTCTTCGAAGACTACCACCAAACAGGACTGGTTCTTGCGGTATAATACTGATTTTTAAACGAAAATCGTGGAGCGCAACTCTATCTGTAGGTATATCGTCCACAATGATCTCTCCTTCTATGTACGCCAGACGAAATAGAGCACTGATCAAAGAAGTTTTTCCAGCCCCGGTTCTTCCAACGACACCGACTTTCTCTTTGGCTTTCACCACAAAGTTTATACCTTTTAACACGTATGGACTCTTAGGTCCATACTTTAATTTCACATTCTTGAACTCTACCAAGCCCTGATTAGGCCAATCGTTTGGAGGCTTTTTGTCCGGTGTGCTGTCTAAGAAGGGTTCTTCATCCAGATTACTATACTCTAAAACTCTTTCAATGGAAGTCATATGATTTTCTAGTTCGGCGGTCTGTCTCATACCCCATTGCAAAATACCAGTGATCGCTGTAATCTGTGTAATTACCAAACCGATATTCCCAGCAACAGCGAGATCATCGAACAATAGAAATATGACTGTGATCAGTCCTACGTAGATCAGACAGAACCACTCTATGTAGAGACCGAAAGCTCGCGAGATGGATATAAATATGAACCAAGTGGACGTGTGAAGGTCCTGATGATTGTCGAAATCTGCAGTCACTACCTTTTCAGCTTTGAACGCTCTGATCGTCGTCAGACCTTGGAGAGTTGCACCGACGTGATCGAATACCGGTGAACGTGCTGAAAAATATTATCGAATGATTTTATAAATATTCACATACGTAACTTGTGTATTAACTTTACTTACTTGTACCCTCCATACGTTTAACCGAACGACTAGTTGAAATATAAATGACCCGCATGTAGTAGAAAAGTAGTATAACGATGAATGTTGGTATTAGCAACCATACGCTGACAGTTCCAACGATCACTATTGTTCCAATAAAAGTTAAGAACATGATTGTAACGTCGAACATGGTAAAAGGCAGCTTTTTATCAATGACACCGATGTCTTTGGAAAACCTGAATACGAAAACAGAAGAATCGATGAATGAATATAAGTCTGACAGACGATCCCGAGACGATACGCCTTTTTCTCTTCTCTCCTTACCTGTTTAATATACGACCAGCAGGATTTGTGTTGTAAAAGTACATAGCAGCACGAACTATGCTGCGGAACATTTGTGCGTGTAAATTTTTCGAAGCACGCATGCAGACCCCATAGTAGGTGAACGTTTGGAACATGTAGACGAGGACGACGCCCATCGTTAAACCGCTCCATAAATAAATAATTCCATCGCGAGATAGCGAGCCGTTCCATTGAAAAGTCCTCGTTCCGTTCTCGGTTTTAAACCAGGAAGCTGCTTCCGTGTTTACCCAAAAGGCAAGCAAGTAGTCGCTACCGCTTGCCATTATTTGGCTTGCAATAAATAGAATGACCATCAGAACGAGTAAACAGAGATTTCGACTTGCTTTCCAGTACGATAGAAAAACTGTGCTAGAAATTCTGCCGACAGTTCTCGTTTCAGCCACTTCGACAGGCTCTTCGTCGGACACAGCTGGTTCCTCCTCTTTCTTCGTCTCTTCTTCGACGATAGTTTGCCTCTCGTCGCTTATAACTTCAGGTTCTTTGTTCTTTTTATTTTCTTCCACTTCTTTAAAGATCTTCATAAAGTCTAGGCTCATTCTTTGAAGCTCCTCGAAGCTACCCTTTGCTTGTATAATACCATTATTCATCACGATGATCTGATCAGCAGATTTTAAGTACTGTATTTGATGAGTGACTAGAATTCGAGTTTTGTCTCGAAGGAAACCGCATATGCATTCGTCCACGATGTGACTACCGACGTGCGAGTCAACTGCCGACAGAGGATCATCGAGAAGATAAATATCAGCATCGGCATAAACAGCACGAGCCAAATTGATTCTAGCTCGTTGACCACCACTTAAATTCATTCCCCTCTCGCCGACCATCGTTCTGTCCTTATGCGTGAACGTATCTATGTCGGTTCTCAATTGACAGACATTGATCACTTGGTTGTAACGCTTCTCGTTCATCGGTTCACCGAAGAGAATGTTTTGCCGGATGGAGGAGGCGAAGATCCATGGCCTTTGGTCGGCGAATCTAATCTTGCCGTAACTTTCTAAGGTACCCTCTTGTAATGGTAACTCACCGAGTATCGCTTGCAATAGACTACTCTTTCCCGAACCAATCTGACCGATTACCGCTACGAAGCTACCTGCTCGTATCGTTAAATCAACATTTTGCAAGGTATAGTCTCTGGTCTCGTCCCATCTGGCAGTTACGTTTTTCAAGTATACGGGCAGAGATTGGGTGGCTACTTGATTCTGTACCTTTGGTGGAGCAGCTATTTCAGGATGCATCATGAATTTCTCTAGACGCCTGATGGACACCATTGCTTCTGCTAATTGATGAACACCTGTGTGCATTTAAATATAGATACGTTTAAGTAATCAAAATTTCGTTCGATCGCGATGCTAGAATAATATGTATATGTATACTTAGAGCAAATCCAACGGTCATAGAACTTCGTAAAATGGTATAAAACGCTGTTATCATAAATACTTTCTCGGCATCGATGGTGTTACCGGTTAAAACGTACGTTAATATTGTAATAAATAAGCTGACTCGAGGAACGTATATATCAAACGTTAAACCCAATTGTTCGACGATCGAGTATTTCTTTATCACGTCCACTTCTTTCCTAAAAAAATTACTCGATTAATAAAAAGAAAAAAATGTTTCGTTAAAGTAAATTTCAATATCTCTCTTACCGTCTAGCCTTTTCGACAAGAAGAGAATACGGTACCTCCCAGACGTACATCTTGATTATTTCTACACCAGCTATTATTTGGTTCATCAATCTTAATCTATTGTCAGTCTTCTGAGCCGATACAAGAGTTAAACGTGATACCTTTTTTCCAAAATACACTAGAAAATGATAGTATATAATATAATAGTAACTTAAGATACGATAAAAAGGAAAGATATAGTTGTTATACTAACATTGCAATGGTATACATAATAAAAACGTCATCATTCCAGTAATGGCACCGAGGCCTATTTCACGATATATTAGATAGGATATTAGAAAAACTTGCAGTGGACCAATCCATAAATAATGAATACTAAAAACGAAATAATCGAGACGATTAACATCGTTGCTCAGGAAATTGACCATCTGAAAGAGTAAGAAAGAAAAAATTGAATAAAATCTAAACGGGTGGTGAACTTTGTCTACGATTTCAATGATTAATTTCGCTTTCTTTTTTACCTGTCCAGCAGACGTTTCATTCTCAAGAACGGCATTGGATAATTTTAATATCTTTCTGTATATCAAAGTACAACAAGCCACCCTAACTTTCATTCCTACGTGCATCAAGTTTTGTAGGGACCAATGTAAAATCACAGCATCTAGCAAAGGCAGTAGAGAAAAAGCTGCAGCATAATAGTATACATCGCTGGTCCAGTCTTTTCTATTTCCAGAAAAGTAACGGAGTAATTTGGCAAGAAGGAATGGATTTACGATCCTGAAATATAATTTCAGTAATTACTTATTTCTTAGTTTTATACATGAATTTCTTTTTTCAATACAAATCCCTAACTCGTAATTTTAGAGTTTTCTGTCCTTTTTTTTTTACGATAAAAGGATTTTGCAGAATCCGTCGTCACTCGCACTGCTCAAAATAATTAAAAATTACCATTTCATACGATTCGATGATGATATAAAGTTTAGGATATAAGATGTAAAATTTCAAGTTTGAAAAATGATGATAATAATTAATTAAAAGGTGTTGAAATAATTGTGAACAGCGAGCGCACCGGGTGTGATAGCATTTAAATTGTTGTTTGCGTGTGTTTGTTACTGTACCGTATGCCGAATTCTAGAACAAATAGCGCTAGTCCAGTGTTCATGACAGCTTTACCGAAGCATTTGTAGAGTACCCTAAATAAGCTCGGTTTAGGGCTGTCCTTTCTTTTCTCGTGTCGTTTCACTTCGATCTCCCAATTTTTCACGATACGTTGACCCAGGTAACTACTCTTGTCCTCTTTCAATGGAGAATACAAATCTTCTTCTTTCAATTCCTTTTTGTAACCGATAATGAACAACTTAAGGATCCACCTGTTAGTTTAAGGGACGAAGGGGAGAAAAGAAAGATATAAATAAAAGATGAACGGATAAGAAATTTAATTAATAATTATTACCAGAACGTAAGAATAGATAACGGGTTGGCATTTTCACACGGATTCTTCACTTCTTTTTTTTCACTTTTATCCATTTTAATCGAAGCAATTCTTTTTGCTCGTCCCACTTTCGGAATCTGTATTTATCTTCTGTATCTCATTTCCTATAATCAAAAAGATCAGAATTATTACGTAACAGTATCTCCTCTTAAGTGATTTTTTGTTGATCGTTGACTTTGTTCCTCGAATGTTCCTGCTCGTTAATGGTACCTTTGATTTCATACATGACGCGACGATATCGGAGATGCTGAAAACACCCACCAAGATGTATGTACATCTATCGTAATATCGCGTAAATGTGAAAACTAGCGTACATAGTGATATGAAACGCGTTTGTTTACCGTATCATCAAGTCTCTTATCAAAGAGCAACTATAGCGAAAAGGAACAACAATGTAGTAAATTAAAATTTTATAAGCGTATGTCACGAATCAATTATTCCATAATTACCAACATTATTCATGTTTTCTATTTTAATTAGATTTTCTTAACGATCTGCTTCTTGTATTCTAATGATTTTCTTTTAAATAAATTGAAACGTTGTTACACAAAATACTCTGGATACCGAAAATTATTAGATATTATTATAATATAAATAAAATAGCAGAAACCTTCTTCTGGAACTCCTCTAGTAGAGATCATTTTTTTTTTGTCTTTAATTTTTGAAAACAAGGTAAGTCTCGTATAATATTTTCACGCGACACGCGGAAGATTGCAATGTCGCGCAAAAATTATTCCATCCTTGCGATTTATCTAAGCTCATCTGTCACAGATGAAATTTATGAACACCTTGAAGAATGCAAATGCTACGTATGAAATCGTGCCGAAATAGCTTACATTTCCGCGAAGAGGATTTATCTTTATCATCGATCTGTACCCCAAGAAAACGATGACACAGATATTTTTACCTGGTTTAACGATCTTTACATTTTCAAACGTGTATATTTACCTATACGTCGCGATGCGACGCGCCATCCCATGGTTAAACGCGACTGAAACAATTCAATCACACGATCAATTTAATCCTTGATCGCTTTCAATTTGCTGCTTCGAAGCACAGAAGACCTTGATGAATCCATTTTTCCAGTTTGTTGATCGGCAACGGGGAAAAACTTTTTCTCAAGTAAATTACCAAGGAGAGACACAAGCATTGTTAATTGTTTTATCAAGAAGAAAAAAAGAACACTACCTCTTCGAATAATTCCAACGTTTAAGTTTCTATCTGTAGAATAGAATCCTAGTAAGAAAAAATATTGTGTCGTCAAACTTGAGAAAATAATTATTAGAAAGCAATTAGAGCGAATTATCTAGGGAACGGTGGTCGTAGAATAATAATTGGTTGAAACTACATCATCGCTAGGCGAGAACTTTCGAAAGAAATTACAGTTTTATTGATCTCACTTATGAAACGCAGACTGTCAGGAAGAATAGACATAGAAGAGCAAGAGTCGTGATGAATGTAAGATGCGATTTAGTATTATTTATAAAAATAAAATAATATAAAAATCTTGTTACAGGATAAAAAAGTTGAAATAAAAGACGTGTTGCTTTTAAACGAACGGGTCTTTTCGATATGCGACGCGTGGCCATTGAGCAATTCTTACAAAAAGTTCCTCATGTATTTGTCCTATCTGTCCGTTCATTTGGTCATCATGTATATGGATCTGTACGATGTGATGGGCGAGTTGGAATACTTGGTGGAGAATATAATAGACAACACGATCGCTACGACAACTTATTTTATGCTCTTCCTCTTTCGATTCAGTAAATTGCTCAAGAACGTGATCACCATTACGAAAGACGAACTAGCGCGGAATGAATTTCGAAACAACGAAGAGATGCAATTGTATTTGTCCTACAATACTATTTCTGACAATTTTGGCAGATACGCGGTGACTACGACCGCTGTAATAGCTGTAATGTGGTATATTACCCCTATGTTGGAATTATTAAAAGCTACCTCATTGTCAGGTATTTTCTTTCTCGGTTATCGTGAAATTGTTAAAAATTGACTAACCAATTTATCATTTCGTAGATAAACATAATAGTTCAAAGATTTACCGGTTACCATTTCGAGTTCATTCTTGGGTCGATTACGAAGACAATTTACAAAATTACATTCTCATGTACGTGTACCAAATTCCTTTGACGCTTATAGCATTATTACATATAAGCAGCATTAGTTTGTTACTCAGTTTAGTGTTGCACGTGTGCGGAAAATTTGCAATTTTGTCATATCGTATACAAAACATAACTGACGATTCGACGGATTCTTTTCAACGTAAGGTTAAAGAGATGGTGGATAGACACGTGGAGCTAATACTGTGAGTATAGTTAGTACAATAAAAGTCAGATGGGTAAAATTAAACCCTTTTTATACATATGTAGGAGGGCAAATTCTTTGAATTCAGCGCTTCAAATATTTCTTGCGATAGAACTCACGCAAACGAGCATTAGAATGGCTGTTCTAATGTACACGATTCTACTGGTAAGTTTTCATTATATTGTAATTAACGTTTCATCTTAAACTTGCCAAAAGAGCTTCTGATCCAGTAAATTTACATCCATTGAAATTCCAAAATTTCTTCTTCTTATATTTAGCTCCAGTAAATTTACATCCATTGAAATTCCAAAGTTTCTTCTTCTTATAATTAGCTTTAGATATTAATATTTTGATCCTCTTGCAGACCGACGACATCGTGAACATTTTCACCTATGGTTTATACGTGACAATAGTCACTTTGATGCTGTATCTGTACTCGTACATAGGTGAACGATTAGAGTACGAGGTAACAAGTATTTTTCATTTAACGTAAGTATGTAATAATTTTTCGATTAATTAATTCCTTAATTCCATTCCATTAATTTAGTCTCGAAAAGTAAACGACGCATTCTACGACGCTGACTGGCTGAAACTGTCGATTCGTAATCAAAAATTTTTACTCTATTGTATGTCTAATGGACGTAAAACGTTGCATCTCACGGCTGGTAAATATTACGCCTTTTCGCTGTCCGGTTTTATCCAAGTGGGTATATAAGTTATACAATTTAAGATAAAGAAATGAGGAAAAATAATATTATCGAACATTGTTTGTCGCAACAGATTATGAAAACTTGCTTCGGATACGTTTCTTTATTACGAGCTCTGATCTGATCTGTGCAAATAGAGATACATACATAATTAATACATACAACAGGGCAGAAGAGAAATTTTGCTTTTCCCCAAGTGATATAAGCGAGAACCTGTTATATGAATTTATTTTACGAAATTTTCAAGACGTCGAGAAAACACTATCTATCAAAATACGCCACATTTGCTATGCAACAAACTTATAGTTAAATATATTACAGTATAAAATATAAAAGCTACTTCATTTTTTCTTACGAATCGCAATTCCTCCCAGCAGAATTATTCGGTCCAGATTTCGTAATCAATCACTGGCACTCGCGTTATCTGAATCACCCTTTCCAAGATTGATATAAAAAACAAATAAAAAATAAAAGAATGAAAAAATTTCTTTCATCGACTAGGAAAGTAGCACGAATGTTTACTAACATATATATTTGTTAATGAAAAATAAATGTATGTACATACAAGAGGAATAAGCAAAGTAAGAAGAAATAATCGTCGAGAGAATCTCTACTTAAAGTGTAATTGTGTACATATTTTATACACTGGGGGGGTGGTAAATGTACGCGAAATTGTTCGCGAAATAACAGTCGTAAGATAATCATTGTTTGCGAGTGTAATGGTCGTATAATGATATCAATTTTCATACGAAATGACAGTTTATCGATTGGTCTATCAATGAAACTGACAACAGGGGGGAATCGTCGCGTCGCGTTGTCGCCTCAGATCGTAAAGGATAATCCGATAACACCATGAGCGTAAGATTTTCGTTTACAATTTACAACACTCGTAAAAATTTCGGGTGTCTAGTAACATATAATATAGAATAATGGTAACGTGTTTGAATAAAATAACCGATAAGGGGTGGGTCAGAGTGAAAACAAAGGAGAAGATAAGACAAACGTTCGACGGTTGAAAGAATTTTGTCACATTTCAGTTCTTTTAGATATAGCCAATATAGCTAATGTCCGATACTAGGGGAACTCACTCTAATGTAATATATGGGACCGAGCCGATAGCTCGTTGGAAATTTCTAATCGACAGAAACAAGAATGAGCGTAGATTTTTAGAAGAGTGTCAGACCGAGCCGATAGCTCGTTGGAAATTTCTAATCGACAGAAACAAGAATGAGAGCGTAGATTTTAGAAGAGTGTCAGACCGAGCCCGAAGCTATAGGTAGGTAGATTCCCGTGTATACAATAATCGAAGACTGTTACAGGAGAAGGCTCGAGTTAAAGACGTGCTCGTTCTAAACGAACAGATCTATTCGATGTGCGATGTTTGGCCATTGAACAAATCGTACACGAAGTTCGTCATGTACGCGTCCTATCTTTTCGTTCACCTGATCGTCATGAATATAAATCTCTACGACGTGATCGGAGATTTGACAGAGACAGTTAAGAACATAACAGACAGCGCGATCATGACGACAACCTTTATCATGATATTTCAAGTTCGATTCAGCAAATTGATCAGGAACGTGATTATAGTAGTAAAAAAGGAACTAGCGAGTGGTGATTTTGAAAATATCGACGAACTTGACTTGTATCTATCTTACAATAAAGTATCGAATAATTTTGGGAAATACGCGATTAGGGGAAGCTTTATCACCTGGTTATGGTGGTATACAGGTCCTCTGATACATGCGCTGCTATCGGGTTCAGGTATATCGGTAATAATCCCTATAATAATAACAATAACAACAGCAATAATTACATTGTTTTTCGTCGCGAAAGGGTTAATATTAACATTGGTATACGTATGTATGTATAATAGTTACAGGAAAAGGCAACGATACAAAATCTTTCGTGCTACCCTTTTCTGCTCGTGCTTTTGTCGATTACGAAGACAACTTTCAGAATTATATGATTATGTTCGTGTATCAATTACCTATAATGTTTGTCGCACTGTTTCATACAAACACTGTTAGTTTGATTTTTAATTTGGTGATGCACGTGTGTGGGAAATTTTCAATCTTGTCCCATCGTATTCAAAATATTCAAGTAGATTCACTTTCGGTCAATCAGTTTACTAGTAAAATTAAGGAGTTGGTGAATACGCATCTAAAACTGATCGTGTAAGTAATCATTTTACTTATCGAGTTTTTATCTATCCAACATTTTTACCTAATTAATTACCAAATTTCAGGATGACAAAAATGCTCAATTCAGCACTTGATATTATTCTACTGATAGAGCTGATACAAACGAGTATAAGGATGGGCGTACTCGTCTATATGTTGTCGGTGGGACCTTTCGGTCAACAAATCCTACGCACACGTTGATGTGCGACAATTATAATTATTACAAACAGGTAATTATGTTTTTTCAGACCGAGATGGGAAATTTTCTGAATACTCTCAGGTATACGTTATACATTATTGCGGTCACTGCTATACTTTATTTGTACTCGTACATAGGCGAATGCATGGCGCAGGAGGTAAGTTCAGTATCAATAGTTTCGTCGAAATGGTATATACCTAAAATCTATGCGAATGAATAAAATTTTCTTTAGTCAACGAGAGTGATCGAAGCGTACTATGATTTCAACTGGTTGAAATTATCAATAAAAGATCAAAAAACATTGTTGCTTTGTATGATCACCGGGCGAAGACCGATGTACATCACTGCTGGCAAAGTTTACATATTCTCCTTATTCGGTTTTATCGGCGTGAGTAAATATTACACACAATTACGATTGCAATCAGAATAATTCAATATCGTCAATTTCATATTTTTTCTACTTTTAATAGATCTTGAAAACCTCGTTCGGATTTGTTTCCCTCTTACAAGCTGTGATTTAATTCAAAAGATAAACATTTCAACCGAACTGTTGTTATATTATAGTTTCATGTTATATTTTATGGATTGTTTGTTTAAAATAAATATATAATGGACTGATTAAAGAAAAAAAAAAACAAAAATCGATTAATCTGTAGGTAAATCGCAAAGAGAAGCTGTCGAGAGCATTTTTTATGAATTACCAATCGACACTGTGCTCGAAGCGATCGCTTAATTAATTGATACTTTTTTACTGAAAATATTCATTAAAACTCTGTCAATTGTGTAACGTTTCTATAGAAATGTCTGGAAAATCATTCTAGTACATATTTCTGTTGTTGATTCGAACGACGATATTGCTAACGTGTTCGTATATGTATATTTATATAGCCGATATACTGAATTGCAAACAAACGGAAGCGTATCTTAATTGTCAAACAATAATAAATCATTAATTTTACGATCCACCTATAATTACGTATTAAACGATAAATAGAATATTTTTTACATTTAATCCCAAGTTCAACAACAGATAAAGTTCCAGGTAAACGACCTCGTTGATTAATTAGATGAAATTTGAAAGAATCAAGTTAAATAAATCATTTCGATTCTGTGATTAAAAGATAAGTGAAATATACGATAGAATTTACGGGTTGAGTAACCTTCAAACGTCCTTCGTGTCTGTTGCAGATATGTACGTAGTGATTTTTTTCTTCCGACATTCTAATCATTTCCTTGAATATATGTAAGTACATATTTCATCAGTTTGAAATGATTCGGAGAGGGCCGAATACAGAGGCGGCGATTAAAACGTTCATCGTCTAATCAACAGTTATGATAAATCCTCAAATAGTAACTCATTTTTATATATTAGTTTTTTATACAGCTACGAACTGTTCGACAGTCTCTATTGGCGAAATAATTGATTAATTATCATGTTTGACAGTAGCAATTGTCAAACGCGTTTGAGTTAAATTGCCGCGCTTTGTTTTAATTCTTGGTAATATGATGTTGCGTGTCTAATGTCTATACCTATAAATGATCTTAAACTAGCAAAAAAAATTTCCTTTCTTCTATATAACAAAGACTCTTACTCATACGTTCGCGCATGCATTTAGAAAATTAACATAGATAATATGGATTTTAGCAAAGTTTTGTTAAGAGAACTAGTTACATCATCGCATATTAAAGAGGTTAAACAAGTATTGACATTAAGTTATTGATGAAGCAAGTTTCAAGTGTCGAATTACACTAATCGGTGTTCATTTCTGGTAATTTATCATTTTAACACTCCGACGCGGTCGTATATTTTATCAAACGGTCCTTGTAATTTTATATTTCTTTTTACGCCAACAAACAGATAAATCGCAAAATCACCACTCTTCAATTTCGAATTATTACATTATTGAAGAGTAAAATTCCTGTAAAATCTTACTAATTATACGAAATTTCAATTTTGTTATTTAATCAATTTTAACATTGATAGGTATACAATTTAAAAAAATTTGGTATCCTAAAATGTTAAAACATTAAAAAAACACACGACCAGTCGCCAGAGCAGTTAGAATAAGATAGAACGTACGTTTCTATTTTTCAATTCTGACAAATGAATTTATAAAAACTTTTGTTTCAATAGAAAATAGTGACGATTGTTAATATTAATGAATTAACTAGGCAAACTATGTAACTAATATGGAAATTATTAGAAGAAAAGAAAAGTAATATACATACAAAGTTGCTTTCTGCCGTTGATACAAAGTCTTGGATGAATAACGTAGTAGGGTCGTTTCGAAACACTTCGCGGCATCCAAGTTTTTCCGCGTAATCACCACTGTCTAATAACGTTTTGCCAACTGAAGAACAAGTAAAAGGAATAATCGTTTATACGATATATGTGAATATACGGTAGCACGTTACACGTCCGTTGACCGGCGTACAGTATTGATTAAAGTAATACGTTTACTTTATTGTTATCGTTTGAAATATTCTCCGATTTCGTTCTTCACGACGCGACGTATACTCGCGAATATAAGGTCTGACTTGTACGGATTACCGCGAATCTACTTCGTATTCAAACGATTAATGTGTTCCTTAAGACTTTCGAGTCAGAAATCGTATTTTTGCGGTGGATTTTCTTTGTACTGTTTCAAGGCAACGAATTACATATTAACTGGTGAATGTAGCTTGAACGAAAGTCAATCGAAGGTTTGCGAACTAGGACTGCGGAGCTGAACTATTACAGCCCTCTATGAATTCGAGTCGTCAACTAAAAGTACTACATACACTGTTCTACTTACACACTCGTCCATAATTTAGGCTTCCTTTGGTTCAGAAGAAGCGGCGGGGAAGGAATACCCCACTACTACTTCTGTTTAGCCATTTATTTTGTATACGAGAAACGGCAGGTTGCAATTTTAAGTATTATCCCTAGCTTTCCTCAGGGATCCCTATATGCGTAGAGATTTTCTTTGGATTCTTCCTAGAGTAACTTCTCTAGTTACTCTCAAGATGGCGTCTGTAGTGGCGCGTTGATTCAAAAATAAATCTATCCTGTGTCATACATTACTTTGTCCCGTTTCCTACAGAATATAATATATATTATTTTTTTCAAACGATCTTCATTATAAAAAAAGAGTTTATTATTCGTAGCTGAGGTGGCGCGTGGTACATACATGAGGTTTTCGACTACAACAAGTCCTATAATTTCACGCAAATACTATGTACAGACATGGTTCGTGTTGTAATATTAATATCTACCATTAATTAACATAAGTCAACGTTACGTCTACAAATTGTTACCCCTTACACGTCTACGATCTAATGATTAATGTGTACGAAAGATCGACGCTAACACGAGACTCTTGCGTAGTATTATAGTAGTCAAAATATCAATTGTTTCGCGTTCATTACCGTTCAGTAAAGTACGTGTTCTGTAGTGTAGTTAAAAGGAGAATTCGTCTATCGTACCTCGTACCGGCTGCTTTTCCTTCTTCTTGCCAATGAATAATCAATTTTTCTCATCGAGCCTGCTTATGCGCTTTAATTCTCTTAAATAAAGAAAACGAAATAAAAAAAAGAAACTACACTTACAGTTACGTACACGCAAATGTATTATTATAAAACAAAAAAACCGCTTCGATAGAAAGTATCATAAAGCGAGCGTTGATTGAGTTATTTAAAAAAATATAATAGTAATAATAAAGACAAGAATCATCTGGATGGTAATAAATATTACTTTCGTAGACACATGTATAAAAAAAAAAAAAAAAAAAAAAAAAAAAAGTATGAAGGTACTATTTCTCTAGTTACATTAATCATACCTGTCTTCGTTCAGAGTATAAAAATATCCGAGTAATTAGTACCTAAGAAAAATCGTTGCTCTTGTCAGATAACTATTATATGTACAAGAGCGTCTTTTACGCTTTCGTCATTAGGATTTTACAACAATCGCGTTTAATGTTCCCTTTGATCGCGCTAACCGCTTTAGTTGAGCAAAAAGTAACGTTAATGGACACTTTATTGTCTTATTGTAAATGTGTGTGCGTGTGTGTCTGTCTGGCTGTGTGTACGTGTATATGTTTCTATATTATTCTACGTACGAAACACTTATGTTCGTTCGAATAGAGGAAAAAGTGAAATTTTCAACGTTATTAAAGAGATCATTAAAAAGAAAATTGAATCGAATGAGAAAGGGATCATCTTTAGCTTCTCGAAGGTTTTCCTAGATTCAATGATTTCGTATCTCGACAGTATTACCGACAAGTAGAAAAATTGTAAACGATATAAAAATGGCACCCTGAGTTGAAGAAGCACGGTCTGTGAAACTTGTCTGTTTTAAGTATACCTAACGTCAGGATCTTTGTTTAGCCGTTATCAAAAAAGTTATCGTAAAATCGTAATCTTCAACGGCACATCGTGGAATGTGTACCTTTATCGAGGTATAAAATTGTTCGTAACGTTGCAAGAGTCGGCAAAGGTCCCCTTCGCCTATTTTTCAATTTCATCTTACGAATGGGACGCTCTGGTCGGATCCTTTTTCACCGAGGACACGGCTGTCGAATTCGACACTTTGTAAGCGTTTCCCTTCACCTCTGCCGGGTGTTTGTGAGTACTCGTCGAAGATTTTCGAGGAGGTTTAGCGATCTGCGTGGTCGACAGACCGCTGACTGGATATTTGTTTCTGCTGGAAGTTCCAATATTACTGGTTCTCGTACCATTCTTCGCGGACGTCGAAGAAGATGTCGTCTCAGTTGGGGGATGCTTTGGCATAACGAACGCTTTCGTTTGTTTCAGTAAATACCGATCATTGCATAATGCCGATATCAATGGTAAGTCCAAGTTGCGACTTTTCTCACGAAGCGTTCGAATATCCAACATTCCATTCTCTTTTCCTTCCTCGCGTTCGCGTTCCTCCGTTCCCATCGTTTTCGACGTTTTATTCGGCGAAGAGGATGACGACGAGGCAGACGGAAGCGGTTGATTCTTCTCAAGATTCTGTAAATAAAATTTCGTTAGTGTTCGTTCGAATCAAAAATATTGATTTCCTTTTCTTTTGGTTTTGCTCGAGGAAACATTTTCGTTTGATATAGGTACCTGTATTTCGTAAGGAGGAGGCGGAGGAGGTGGTGGTAGCCTACGATGCTTGAGTTGCGGCAACGACTGCAACTTGATGCTGGAAGGAGAGTCGAAACATTTCAAGATATTCTCGTCGCTTCTGGTCCTGGAAAATGCGTGGAGCGTATGAGGATGAGTCGGTGCTGGTGGTTCCCGTCTAAGACTCTGACTTCCTGCCGACGAACAAGTAGCTCCACTGTATAGGGAACTGGTACTGGCAGCATAGTGACTGCTCAGATTACTATGCGGTAAATAATTGTTAGAGCTGGTATCGCTGCTACTAAGGTTTTGATTCGAAGCGTATTTTGAGGGTGACGAGAAGGAGGAACCGGGTAGGTACGGTGTGCTACGATACATCACTAACGATTTATTGTTGAACGATGGATAAGGGGGTGGTGGATAAGCAGCCATTGCTGCAAGAAGAGATCCTTGTTTGGCATCGATGTACTCTTGCTTCGACACGGCAGGATCCTTCAGAGGGAACATAACGTAATCGACGTCGGAATAGAGTTGCTGTTTATACTGTTCGATTTGCGACCTCGCAACTTGACTGGTGTATACGGTAGCCAAGCTGGGTGGCGGCGGTGGAGGTTGTCTAGGGTGAATCATGGGTGGCGGAGGGGGTGGCGGAGGAGGTGGTGGTGTCAAGTAAGGCAACAAAACCGGACCACCACGTGAAGCGTGGACGTCCAAATAATTATTCGGTCCAACGACAAGAGCGGCAACGGGAGCGTGAACTGGGGTAGGTTTCATTTTGTCACCGGGATAAGTAGGGGGTTGAATTCTGGGCGGTGGTTTCGGGGCGATCGAGGCAACGTCGTCGTTGCTCGTATGATTAGCGGCGATGCTGCTGGTGGTCTTTGAATTCAACGGCGTTATATTGCCGTTGTTGGATTTGTTGTTCGTCAGATTACTTTGAAACTTGCTCGACGTTACAGTAGTAACTCTCGACACGATCTCTTCGGTGCTGCTGGTCGGGTACAATTTCGAAATGGCTTCCTGTCGAGTAACGTCCGAGACTTCTGGATACGGCGGGGGTGGTGGTGGCGGTTCCCTGGGTTGGACAGCGTCGTTTCTCGGTGGCGTAGGTGGTGGTATTTGGATTCTTTCTCTGGGCGAAGTATAAGGCGGCGGTGGCGGTGGTGGATCGGTTCTTCTCGGTGGTAAAGGGACGAATTCGCCACGTGTCGCGTTGTACGGCGGTGGAGGCGGAGGTTCTCTCTCGATATCCGGTATCTTTGCTCGCGACGAGTTTATCGTAGCATAATCCATGCTGACCGGATACGGAGGAGGTGGAGGAAGTTGCCTGTCGCTGTCCGTCCTCGGCGGAGGAGGTGGCGGTGGCATAGTAACGTAATCGCAATCGGAATCCATGGAGTTGCTGATGGTTTTTCGGGGAGGATAACGTCCAACGATCAAATCCGAAAGCTCGTCGGCTGACAACAAAGGTCCTACGCTGGATGGATCGCTACCGTCCCCTCTGAAACTTCCAGCACTGAGTATGCTGTTGCTTCGCGATCTAGAATCTTCCAATTGTTGATCCAGAGATACCGCAGACATAGCGGAAACCACTATGTCGTTAGCGACATCGTCGTCACCTTTGCAGACGCTGTAAATCGGTTCTTGATCATCGGTACCAACGTCTTCCGTGTAAACGTCGCTCGTCTCCGATCTAAGCCCACTGTGGATGGTGTAGAAACCGGATGTCACCGAAGCTTCATCGGTAGTCGACTGGACGGAACTCAAGGCACACATGTCACTCGCTGCCGATGATTCGTTTGCGTCTCCGCTAGGTGAATACAAGTCTCCGATTCTCTCGTCCTGCATCTCGCTGCTCCTTAACGTGTACACTCCACTGGTCTCGCTCGCGATGTCGGTACCTGGAAAAAATTCATCGAGTCTTGCGAGTCTGGGAAAATCAGAGCGGGTAGATTTTCGAAGATGCCCTAACAATAAGATCAGATCGAAGATGACCAGTTCGAATACTACAAGTACATTTAAGGAACGGAATTCTTGTTTCTTCGGTCGTTCAACTGGTTCCTTTCTGATCATTTCCAAACACCAAAATGTTTTAAATACAATCTATTTATTTCAGAATTATATGTATTCGGTCGAATTAGCTTGATTTTTTCCCTGTACAAGAAAAAAAGAAGAAATATGAAAGCTGTTAGAAAAAACTCACCCGCGTATTTGCCAGCTTTTTTGCACCTGTCGTAAATGGCACCAGGAAAGCTAGCGGTTTCTGAAGAAACCGCTGAATTCTGTGCCGTATGGGAGTAACCGAGCTCGAGACTGGATGTTGCCGAGGTGCGACGCATTCGCGGCGGTCCACCAGCAGGTGCATTCACAACCACCACCGTGCTACAGCTGCTACTGCATTGCGATCCCTCGGCCCCCGTTGCTGCACTCGAAGCTAATCGCAGTGCAGCCGTCGTAGGAGTGTTGTCCGTACCGTCGACTTCTGAAAATGTTTACAACCGTTCTCAGAGATTCCACGCCTACGCGATTCAAACTTAATCGATATATCGTTAATTCTGTGAATAGAATTTACCATCAACAGTAGAGGCTGGCGAGGACGGCATCGAACGATCCTCGATATCTGCATTCGAGCCGTTCACCAGGCAGCCGCCGCCGCCGCCACCGCCACCGGGGTGCGAAGATGAATTTTCGGTAAGACGCGGAAGACACTCGGTCGAGGCTGGCGCCGTGTCTGGTTCGTCCTCGCTATGAACCCGATCGCTGACAATTCCAGAAGTTGTATTGGACGAGGTGCTGGAGATAACAGAAATTCGTTGGTCCCCGCGCGCGCCTCGTGCTGTTAAGCTCAGCTTGCATCGTGCAGGATACATGTAGCAGTCGCGAAGAACCTTTCTCTCTGTACAGATTGAAAACAGAGCATCGATCTCGAGATGAAACGTTTCCGAAAGTTTCTACACGCACCAACCATCGTTTTCGAATGATCTGTTTGATGAAAAAAAATAGAAAGAAACACGGTTACTCTCACCTTCCTCCTCTCGCCTCTTCGCCTCGTTTACTCTAGGTGCTATGGCCATGGAGAACTGATGGGTGTCTCGACAGAGGCCCAGAAGAAGTTTGCTCTTGTCATCGCATCCGCTGTAGAGAGTAAGCTTGTCCGGCTGATCGACTGCGCGTATTTCGAACTTCTTGCGCTGTGTATCAGAGAAAATTTTAACAAATCTCGTTACTTTCCAAGAAAAGTACGTGAAAGAAAGAAACTAACGTCGAAGCAAAGTTTGCCAATGTTGTTCCAGGCAAAAACACGCGGTGTCTCTTCCTCGGCGTAAACTCGCACACCGCGAGCACATATCGCGAGTAGTATACGTCCTGGACCAGCCTCGTTCTTGCTTCTTCGCAGGCGATAAAGGTGAGCGTTGAGCGGCGCCTCCAACAGCACCGCCTCCCGGATGTATTGCAATTCTGCCTCCTCCCTTGACAGACCCCGGTTGTCTCTGTGCTGAGCCGCCAGCACGCCGAGCACATTTGACTCCAAGCACATCTAAAGAAAAGCGCATCACCGTTCGTTACATTTCAAGCAAGGATCAATTGGTGGAAATGAAATACTTACGTGAGGTGGAAGGTAATCGGTGGGTTTACAGTATCCCACTGCTCCCGCGTGTGGTCTATGCCGTTCTTCGGAGTAGTCGCCAAGATCGGCTTGTAAGGCAAGACCGGCGAGTGTAAGCAACGGTGTAACGATAGATGGTTCGTGTAAGGGATGGTGAGGATGCAGGCTCTCAACCCCACCCCCATGCCTGACCACGTTGTCCCGCAATTGCAGGTAATAGTGGTGACGGGTCGTTTCATCGCTGAAATCATGTAATAAACGTATCTACCATAAATATGATACAACGATGATACTTTCAAAGCCACCACAGCCGAGATAAGACTCGAAATTTCACGAGACGTCGCTTGTGATCGGTGCAAAATGAATTTCATTTGGTAGACGTGACAAAGAAACGATCGAGGCAGCTATTCGTAGAGAGAGAAAAAAAAAAGATTCATCAGTATGGAAGCACCGGATTTAATTATTCACCAGTCACGCTACGATTCATTATCTCGAACGAGCGTGTCAGAAACATTTCTAAAACCATTCGGCAGAGTTCGATGTGTCCACTACGAGGAAGAGGAATATATCCTAGGACCATTTTATGCAAATGACCATTTTCAAATTATCCAGAAAAATTGTAATTCTTCGATCCGCCGTATCGTCAGATTTCAAAATTACTCTCAGCTAATAAATATAATAACGCGTAATCAGGGTCGCTTCGTAAACAGTGAATTATAGTATCTCGAAAGGTATTATTCGCTGTGAACCGGAAAACGTGTATAAGTGTGCATTACATGGCATTACGTTGAATTACCATCGTATAGAAAGAAGATCCGTACTTCCTCAAATAGAAGGCTAATTCCGGTACTGGTTCGTCGATAAACTAAATGCGACGTAACAGCGTAATAATACCTGTGCCATTCGCTTCTACAGATAATGCGATACGAAATTCGAGTCATCATCGTTATTAACTACTAACAAAAATGTACATCATAGCGAAAGTAAAAGAAAAAGGAAGAAAAAAAGAGCAGAGAAGAGGCATGTCAAGTGTAACGATTGAAACTGATCCTATAAATCTGGTAAGGTTTGCAATCCTGATTGATCGTACTGGTTCTTTTATATTACGAACGAAACCCTCGTCGAGAGGGAGGCGCGGTGATTGGCAGCGAGGCACCATGTAAATCACGGGTTTCGGGTGGAAATCAGAAAGCAACTACGGATCGGTATAATTACCGGGACGAGTACTTTCATTTAACGCGTACGGTCTATCCATCACGCGTCACGTAATAATTTATAATTACAAGAGTGGGTAGCACTTAGCTACCGGACAGGAGTCCGAACACCAAAGTGAGGATTTCGTTTCTCTGTTCATCTTCTCACAATTAGGATACTTTTAGGACTTAGATATCATAGTTTTCCTATAAAATCCCTAATCTAAGCAAATCCCTTCTTGTTGTACCTCGTCTTTCGTTTCTCTTTCCTCGAGCGTCTTTCTGTCTTTTATCTTTTGGTCCGTCGATCTGCCCGAAGGCAAGGTAGGAACCCTTATAATCGCGATACACCGCGGCTAGGAAAAAGGGACAAAAGGGAGAGAGGATAGGTTTGGCAGTTTGACCAGGTACGGTGGCAACAGGGGAGTATTTGAAGCGGAACGCTAATTACTCCGATTAATTCTGCAATCCATTTGGGGGCCTGTCCGATGCTCCGAGCGTCCTCGACTAATTTAGCTTCCTACGAGAGAGGCCAGCCTTTCTCGAGTGAATAATTTGTCAGCCGGTGGGGTCGATCCGACTACCGGAGTTTTTATTCGCCCTTACGATTCCGATCGCCGCGCCGCGCCGCGCCGATTTCATTCGGTTCTTTTCTCTTTCTCTTTCTTCGGTTTCAAACGAGCATTGGCTTACCTTCGGACAACCTACATTTCAGAAAGCTTGGAAAGGCGTCTCCAATTTGTTACGTTGCAAGGTTGTAAGAAATTTCGAACGATTTTGGAAATCTTACCTTAACAGCAATGGCGTATCGATGTAATAACGAACACGAAAATAGAGGACGAAAGCTGGCCTTCCGCTGCTGTCTAAGCCCTACAACAAAGGAAAATAGAAAAACAATTATATTTTTAGATTTTCTTATTTAAAATAAATTCACAATTACTAATTACATATTACACAACGTTACATTATATCTTATAATTACATTGTGGACAAGTCTATCGCATCGACTGCTTGCCTAGATAAATATCGAGTGCGTTCTATTAATTACACATAATCATTGATTATCCAGCTAAGACAATGAACCGATGTTTTGATAATTGCATTGTTCTTTCGAGGACTAAGAAACGCGAGCCTAGTCCTCTCTATCAATTATATCAAACAAACGCGTCGCTCATATTATTCTCGTCGTTGAATCGATAACAGTCAATATCAGGATCATTTTCATTGGCTTTGATTCGGATTAAAGGAATCATCGATAAATCGTACAATTAGCTTACGAATCTCGAATTCGCTTTGTCTCATAGCCCATTCGAACATTAAGTTTGCCGAGCTGACGAGCTAACGCGACGAAACGTGGGCGAATTAACTAAACTGTGAATACGCCCGCACACACGTTTCCCCACCCACGCGTTTTCAAATACGGTAGCCACACACCGCTACCACCTGGAACACGGGTCTAAATTCACCATCTTCCCATTCGCGAAACTCGAGACTCCGAAACAACGAGATTCGAGGATCGATAATGCGAAACTTCGCTTTAAAGGTTCATTCTAATCAAAAGGATTTCGTGGATTTCACCACGAATAGAAATTAACAGCTACTCGCAGCGAGGAACGGGCCACTTTTGAAAAGTGTACCCTGGAATGACCGATACATCATCCAACAGAGACAGAACGAAAAGAAGAAAAAAAATGAAAAAAACGTGGACGACAGAGGACGAAGATGAGAAGAGAGGAAGGTCGAAAAAGAGAACGGATGGGAATCGGACAGGCAGCAATAACGAAGTCAGCTCCAAATTCGGTAGCCGAAAATTAAACCGAGAAGGGTTTCTCGGTTATGTCTAGACCTAGACCCTCCGGTGAAATCGTAGCAAATTATACCGTCCCCCGCTCCATCCGCATATTTTACCAACCATAAATATTAATCCAGCATGGTGTATGCTTCTTCATTCTCCATTCTCCATTCTCCATTCTTCACCTTCCTCGACCACATCTGCCTTCGTTCATTCGTCCTTCTGCGCTCGCTGAACATTCTTAGATGGCCCGAAGGGTACAGTCGCAGCTAAAATCTATGGGTACGATCTGAGCTTCTTATAAAATCTATAGGTACTACATATATAGATGGTATCGAACGAATGAATGGTAACTGCCGATTGGTACGGTAGCAGGTGTGGCCTGTAATAATATATTATTGCTATACGAGCGATCAAATTTTTAACGTATTTTATTTATAAATGGAAACGAATAAAATTCTAAATACCGATAGAATTACCTATGCTAGCAATTTCAAGCAGCTGATCAAAGGATCGGAATAAAAGATTAATTCTCCATATTTTCTGCTCTTTTTATGGTCTAACACTTGATGGAAGTTATAATTCTTAAATTTTTATGCTGCTTTTTACACTTGAAAGCAGCCTATTAAATGGCCTCTTAAGACAGCGACGTAAATCAGCTCTCTGTTCATAGATTTGAATAAATTACCGTTATTTCCTTAGATATTATTATAGAAATCTTTTTCGTATAAATCCAAGTATAATATAATAGGTATGAAAGTAAGGAACACGTGAGAAGACACCAGGTGGCAACGCGATAAAATTCAACGTGAAAAATGAAATGTTTGGAACGAGAATCCTCACCTTTTAACGTGGTCCTAATATCGTTGATATTGACTACTGCCGTTACTAGGCGTCTAGAAGGGTAATCGGCCACTTATAGGTGTTTCTGTTGCACCGTGTGCAATTGCACATTTCAAACAGTATCTCAATTATTAGGACTGTAACGGTTCTTAAATTTTTCCTGATTATGGTAGCCAGTTATTCTTCCTCTATATCGTCATTTTCGTTAGCTGATAACTGATTACCGATGGAATTCCAGAGGTATGGACAGGTAGGGAGAGACGAAGAGGGGATGTATAGGGGAGGGGCCGAGTTTTAATAGTGGAGGACCTCTGGCACGGCCACAGAAAATCCTCGCAGTCGATGTTCCGGCGAGATAAGCACGTAGTCCGGTAGCCCGGTTTTACCGGGCCAGTATTTATTGGTTATTGGTGTGGACCGTCATTAGCGAAACGGGGGTCCTACCGCTGCAAACAGATACGAAGATATCGCACGAGGTGGCTCTCTCTCTCTCTCTCTCTTTCTCTTTAAGTCCCTTCGAATCCGTAATTTCCTTCTCTGCTCCACTTCCTACCTTTCTACCTTTCTCGATCGAAAACATTTTTGCCGAGTTGACAAATTCTTGCCATCCCATTGCTCTTGCCCGCAATTTTGCTTACCAGCTAATTATTCCAATTACTCGGTAAATGCAAGGTGAATTTTTCTTAAGAGGGTTGGATTAAATACTAGAGGGTTTGAAAGAAAAGGGAGAACGAGGTGTCTGCCTCTGCTTCTTGGGTAGGTAGCGCTACCCTGCAGGCAAAACCGTGGATGGAAATGCTAATTTCAACGAACAGAGCCTTCTACGCACTACCCTTCTCTCTCTGTTCATAATTTATGCAACATTTTCTAGTTTCGGCTTTGCAAAATAGTGTTTCAAAAAATTCGTATTTGTATTTTTTACAACGCCAAAGAGGCATTTCGGTTTTTAACGCTAGTGAGTACAGTTTCATCGGCAGTTTAAAGTGTAAAGTTGTAAATTTCTTAAGTAACCATTATATCGTACATCGTACGTGGTGGGTGGATAAAGCGACAATCGGGTTATAGTGTAATTCACACCGCTTGTTTTTCGTTTCATCCGATGCCAGAACGTAAGCACGTATTAAAATAAGAAAAGGGAAAAGGAAATATTCGAAATTGTACGAGAACATTGTAGGGAAACAGGTTTACGTCCGTGCTTTCGTTATCGCGTATTGTTTGAACGTTATTTACCAAAGTAATCGTATTGTTTGCTACGAAAAATCATCTACTTACGTATGTATGAGAACTTCGCCAGTTCTTCGGTGCGTATTTGCTTAATTTATTCTCGGGATCGACGAACAGGTACTCGCCGTCTGAAACACCGAAAATATACAATAATTGAGAATTTATTCTTTCCTCGTTACATTTGAATAAGAAATTTTTCAGTTTTAAGATCATCGATAATAAAAAAGAATATTACTGCAGGCGAGTGTGAATTCGTTAACGTGGCGAAGGGAGACGAAGAGAGTTTGAAAAAAAGTTTTCCAACGACCGCTAGCCTGGCCCCCATTAAGCATCAAGAAACCGACTCCTTAGTCATCCTCTCGGTCTGACAAATTAATTTTATCGGCGTCGACGGTGTTTCTTTATTATAATCGTGGGGCAAATACAAACTGGTTGGAACGACAGGCCCGCGAGATTCGGGGTGATCGTGGTCGGCCGAAATGGTCCCCCGTACAAGGGCCGCGCGTATGCGTTCACGGTGCCCTGATATGGTGGTTGCGTCGAGCCTCGGGGACCCATTCTCCTCGCTCGACTTTTTACACGGCTGATGGTCCGAAATGCCGATACCCCTAAACGAGCGAAACAATGAAAGAGCTTGTCGGCGAGGAGATGTTGGTGAATGAGACGGCCCCCAAACCTGTCCTGCCCACATGGGGCCAGACACTCGGCTCCCAGACTCGCCTCGTGACGCGACGCGACGCGACGCGATGCGAAGTGCGCTTTCCCAACTGCAACTCCATCTCCAACCCGGACCCCTTTCCGACCTTCCTTTACACTCTCTCGTTACAATTATTACAAAATATCTTTCAGCCGAGCGTGCAGTACGAAATCATTATAGGTTACGTTTCAAACATCTACTCCTGAATGAAACTGCAGGTCGTAAAGCCGGTTCCCCCGGATAGTGTCGCGCCACGATTCTTCTTTCTCTTTCTCCTCGGTTTTACGAAGCAGCAAATAGGAGTGGAGAATTCTCGGACACCCTGTATTTAGCATATTTCGATTTGCCCGAGATACACCGAGCCGTCCAGCTCGACGACGTCCGATGCTACGTGTGGCATGCTGCCTTTCAGACACGAACCAGCGGATCGAGCCACATTCCGCGGTGGAGCCGGCCAAGGATGAAAGAAGAAGGAGCCGGGGGGATGTAATGCACTCTTCGCGTCGCGGACAACAGGGCCGCAACCTGGCCCTCCTCGACGTTTCTTCGCTTTCCTCTCCTTTCCTTTCCTTTCCTTTCCTTTCCTTTCCTTTCCTTTCTGCTGCCAAAACGTGGAAGGAACAACGACGCCAGGACGACGAGAAGTTGGCCGAAAAGCAACCAAGAAAAAATTAAGGAGAAGAAGGAAAGAAGGTTAAGGCGGACGAGAGAAAAAGAAGGTTGGGGGTGGCGACCTAAGAAGGTCAGAACATGGTATTTCTTGCAGCCGGCAACAGTCGGCTGCGTCATTAACCCTTGTATCGCGATGCCTGGGTCACTTGAGACCCGTAAACAAGCAGCTTCAACTCTGTTTATATTTTTAACAATACAATCGTCTTATATTTTTTAAGCAGATGCGTCTTTTTTCTTTGGCTAATCAATTTGTATCCTTGTTATTTTCGATCCTGAAAATCGACACGAATCGATGGTTGGTAAATATAGACGGATGTGTCCGGTGGGTAAGGGATGGTGAAAGTCGTAAGTTCTTCTTTCGTTGCGATCTCTCCGTCCGTGGCCGAGGGCACCTGTGTTACCCGAGGTATAACCCGACCATTACCGGGGAATGTTGCCCGAGGGCTAACCCTGGCCCTCGTGTAACCAACCATCCGGGCCCATCGGGCCCATCTTATCCCACTAGACATTCCCTCCAGTCACGGACCAAGCAAGATCTTAAGTCCTTCTTTCTCTTTCTTTCGCCTTCCTTTTTCTCCATCTTTGATCCATTCTCTTTACCTTCCTTCCTTCCTTCCTTCCTTCCTTTCTTCCTTCTTTTATTCTTTTCTATTTTTCTACTTCTTTCTTCGTCCATCTCATCCTCTTTTTTTCAAACGCCACGCCCAGAACAAGCCTAGACAACGTTCTTACTTTTTTACGAGCTTCAACAAAGATGCGCAAGAAACGAAGCAACCAAGGGAAATCATTATCCTGGGTTAATCGTGCAAAATTTTGCCTTATTCCGTTCCTACAGGATTTCTACCCTAATGCAGCTTGAGTTTAGTATACATTAATTTGCTGTTTTATTGTCAGTGGGAAAAGCAATGTATGGAAGAGAGTTGGTGGTGTAAAAGGTAGAGAGCGGAGCGGAGGAACCCCCCTGTCTGAGCAATCAGGGGTGATTACGGGTGTAATTACGGTTACGGCGCATTGCTGCACCACGGGATGAGAGAAGGAACATTGTTTCTTTCTGGGAAACCGACGGGTTTATGGGGATCGTTGGTTCGCGGTTTTTTCTTGTCGTGAAGCGCGAATCCCTGCCACGACCGAATACCCTTTTCTCTCGCTTGGATCCCTCCTTTTACTGTCCGCGGTGAATGTGTGTTCCCTTCGTTATTCTCTCGCGATAATCGAGCCGATTTTACGCGGAACGTCGACCCCCGTTACCGTGAAACAATCTCTTCTGATGCGAGTATGCCCGATCCAGAGATTCGCGAGGCTCGCTTTCTTTAATCGTAAGGGAAATGGCAAGAAGGTAAAACGATATCACGTATCACAAATTAAAGTTAATGAAAATAATGGTATCAGTGTTGCAACATCAAAATTCCTACCCTCCTACAACCCGTTTAATTGTTAATTAAAGTTTCGCCGATGCCGCGAAAGCGGAGCAATGATTTATTAGTGTCATTGCGAAATTGTGCAATTAATACGTGCACCAGAATATAAATACTTCTCAAGCTGGCATAACAATTTAATTAAGGTGTTCGTATAAATCTTAGCAGTCGAAGAGTATTCTACCTTGGAGCAGGCCAGAAAAATCACTTGGTGCAACTATTAAATACACACTTTTCAACGGTGCACGGAACCGTGGCCAACTGCTCGCCCACTTGTCTCTCTACCTACACTCTACACACTACCCTATGTATTTAAAAGAAGAACGGAATGCGTTTCTGTACGAGTAACCGTCGTTCGAATCAAGATACTATTGTGCCTTCTTTCCTCCTGTAGAATCACATTGAAATTTTTTCATACCATCTTCAACCTTGGATGCAGGCATGCAGGTACGTGTGAAGAATTTCAAGAGAATGTGCGGACGTGTAATCCGCGACATTATCCGTTCGATTGCACGATAAAGATACGCGTGCAACGAAGAATCACCTTTTTTTTAATCTGACTGCAGATTGATTATAATGACTGGCTGTCATGTGAGTGGAATTCGACGACGGTCCTCGGCGTTCGAAGAAAATTTATACATTTTACTTGCAACAAAGGGAATGGTATAAGCAAGATACTTAAGTACCGAAATCGTATCCAGAAGTTTCTGAACGTTATTACACGTTGATGGCCGGTAACGAAGCGGGCCTCGCGTTGCATTACGGAAGATAGATGGAGTTTCGTTGAACGAACCGAGGGGGATAAAATGTGGTTTCCACTAGCACCATTACTACCACCGGGCAGAAACGATCGTACTACCACCACCGACACCACTCCTCCACCGGAGGCTACTATCTGGAGCTCATCGCATATTTCATCCCGATCAAATTATTCCCAAGGTACAAAACACGCCACGTACGTCCAACAGAGAACCATCTTTCGTTCCTGCCTTTTGGCAACCAAACGAAAACGAGAAAGATAAAGAGAAGGCAGGAAGAAAAAGGTGAACAGAATAGTTAAAGAAATAGTTGGCATTAAATATTTTGGAAAATTTTTGAGAGATCAATCTAACAAAGGGAACTACCCAAGTGTTACACTCACTTATTAATGAAACTTTGCCAGCTTGTAGAGCTCGTCGAGCTGAACACGCCTGTACCCCGTTTTGTGGGCAGACGACTAATTGTTTAAAAGATATTAGTAATTAAAGTTAGTTACTTACATTGAGAAATATGACAGACTCGCAATCTAGAGATCCACGGTTCAAATCCTTGATTCCCAACATTTTTTTTTTCTTTTTTTAATGATAATTTTCCTCTTTCTGAATAACTATTACATAAAAATTATCAAAAAAAAAATTTTGGGAATCCAGGATTTGAACTGAGGACCTTCAGATTGCGAGTCCTGGATCCGCTCCGTGGTTAAACACATGACTCGCAATCTGAAGGTCATCGGTTCAAATCCTTAGTTCCCCAAAAAAAATTTTTTTTTTTTTTCGATAATTTTTATGTAATAGTTATTCAAAAAGAGACAAATTATCATTAAAAAAAGAAAAAAAAATGTTGGGAACCAAGGATTTGAACCGTGGATCTCTAGATTGCGAATTGTATGTGTAAGTTTGTCATACTTCAGAATGTAAGGAGTAACTGTAATTGTTAATATCTTTTAAACAATTAGCCGTCTGCCCCCAAAGGGGGGTATAGGCGTGTTCAGCTCGACGAGCTCTACAAGCTGGCAAAGTTTCATTAATAAGTGAGTGTAACACTTGGGTAGTTCTCCTTGTAAGGGTAGAAAATGTAAAGCAGCTTGTCTTTAAAATAAAAGAAAAGCAAACGCCGTTCGCTGGATGAGTCGGTTATCTTCTCGGTGCTGTTGTTTGTGGTCGTCCACGATCTCGTTACTCTCGCGTGGAACATGCAAGAAAGGGGGCTTCATTAGCGATCGCGTAATATAAATCAAACGACGACGCGTTTTAATTTATAAAACGCCATTACAGCTTATGAATGAGCCATTCATGTGAGAGCGTTCGCTTCTTGGACACGTGTCCCCGTTGTTACGAGCACGGCAGTCGGAAAGGGAGGGCCAGTGTGTAGAGCAAGAGGAAGGGAGAGAGACGGTTGGAAGGAGAAGAAGCAGAGAGGGACCGGACCCGGACCCGTACCCGGACCCGGACGGTCCACCAGCAGTAAAGAAACAGAAAAAGGAGAGATGGACGATGGAAGATGGAAGGACGTCCAAAAGGAAAGGTGAGAGAAAAAAAAAAGAGGCAAGAGACGGCGAACCTTGGACGAAGGAATTTTCTTTCCGCGATCAATCGATCATGAAACTTTGTAGTTTCATCGTGGAATGAAAAGAAAATGGATTTTCAGAAAAGTGCCGCGAGTGACGAAAGCGAAAGTGGAAGAACCAGTGTATAGATTATAAGACTTTACATTTAGCACTCTAATTATGTCAACGTAAGATGAGGATTTGTTGAATAAGTAGGAAAGCTAAGGAGCCCGAATGACGTTTGGTAAATGGTGCAGAAGTCGAAAGCAGAGAAGAGAGATCGGCATGCGTAATGGAGGGGAAGGAAGGAAGGAAGGAAGGAAGGAAGGACGTTGAAGCCCTGTTGTGACGCACAACCTTAGCTTCATCGAGGTACATACATACATACATGTATATACCGAGTGGACCTGCTAAGGCCCATTCTCTCCTCCTTCCCTCTTTGCCCTTCTGCCTCTGAATCCCCCGGTTCTGGGCCCTTGCCCCTCTACCCTCCGTCTCCCTACACATCGACCATTCCTGTCCGCGGAGTCCTCCTTCCACATTCCTCGCTTCCAAGTCCCCGTGCGGCAGAGATGCTTGGGCGGGAGGTGGAATACGAGAGGCCCTATACAAATCACCGGGCTACCGTCTTACCCGGGCTCATTCTTCCTCTCCCTCCTCTTCTTCTTTCTTCCCTTTTTTTCTCCCTTTATACACCTATCTCTGTCCTCTTCAAAACGCGAGCTGCTCTATTATCTCTCTCTCTCTCTCCCTCGTTCTTCTTCTTCTTCTTCTTCCTTCCTCGCTTTTTCTTTCCACCCTTCGTCCTTTATACATACATGTATATGTATAATACGCGCACCAGGGGTGTGTCTTTCTTTCTCTTCGTTTTACCATCCATACGCCATCCTTCTCGTGCACTTTCATGTCCCTTTTCGTCGGCTCCTTTTTCTCTTGTTGCGAACAACACGCAGCTCGACCCTCGGCCACGCACACGTACCACGCGTTCACGCCCAAAAAATTTCACCTTTCATATAAATTACTCGCGACATCCTCGCCTCTGACACGTAACCCCATAGATATTTTCTCTATCGTATCTATGATCGTTAGAAGAATTCTTTTTAAAAAAATCCACGTAATGACCGTATAGGAGAACGGTATTGTGCACGGCAGAAAATTGCCAGATATTCCAAAGAAAAGTCGCTTGCAAAATCATGGAGCGAAAAAGCTTGCATCCTCTTCGATCGCGTTCCTCGGAGCCGAGGGTTGTAACCAAAGAACTTAACGGCGCGGCGTGGAACGGAGTGGCGTGGTGCCCGGAGCGATCCTCCTCGATATCTATTTTTAGTAAGAAGCGTCCAAGAGCAGACGGTGGTGATTACAAAATTGCAGCAACGATTGGTCCGTGTCATTTTACCGCCATGGGCATGGGGGTTGGCCGAACGGGATACGAAGAATACGGCTATGAAATGGAAGGAGTAGAAGAAGAAGAAGAGGAGGAAAAAGAACAATCTCGGACGCAATGACGATGAAGCAAAGAATATTCAAGTAACCAGAGAGAAGAAGTAGCGAGATTATAGAATAAGGCTTAGAAAAAGCAGGAATAAACGTAGAGAATCGTGTTGGAGGAGAAAAGAAATAAGCTCTCTTTGGATTTTCCTCGAACTAAAGGCAAATAGTATTTCGATTCTGAGCGAAAGAAGTGTAGACGTGTGCAACGAGTACGCCAAGTGAAGATCGTTTCGAGCGGTCGCGCAAAGCAACGCACGTATGCAGGGGTGTGAGCTACCTTTTTCTACTTGTTTTCCTTTTGCAGATGCATTTTTTTCCTGTCGTTCCATGGCTCGCGCGCCTCAAAACCCGCCAGCAGCTCAGGCTGGCCGTGATGGGGCCCCGTTGGAATGTAGAAGGGAGGGGTCCTGCAGGGCCCTGCGAGGCCCAAGAAGGCACCGGTTAGTGGGGGTACCAGTCGGACCGGCTTGTCACGACTGGTGGGAAGGCATAGAGTAGAACGAGGGGTAGTGGCCAGGCAAGGGTAGTAAGCGATAGAGGCGAGCGAATATTCGGTGAAGAAAGTGCTGGCCAGCAGGGGTAACAAGCTCAGAGAAGGGCCATCTGCCCTTCTTGGATCAACGTTTTCCTATCTTTCTTTAGGACACTGCTGTCTAAGAATTTACTTATCCCCTGTGGCTAACTCTGTCAATCCACAATAGCACGAAAGTCGTCGAAGAAACGAAGAAAGCAATTTGACGTGGCAGGAGGCGCGATCGCGAGGCCGATCCTGACGAGTATTCGCGCTCTCGCGAAATGCAACACCTAATGACTCGCGTGAGCTTCGGTAATTCGATCTACTCCGGAGCAGGTTAAAAAGTGGCTGGCCGTAATTCGAGGCGGATACGCTACCCGCTACCCCACAAGTCATTCACGATGCTCACTGGCCCGTCCGACCGCATTTCGTCCGTTAAACGACGGAACGACGGAAACGAGATCGTCGAACCAGCTTCTACGTACCTACCTACCTACCCACCTACCTACCTACAGATAAAGGAAGAAATTTTCGATGCTGCCATTTACTCACCGGACAGTATTGCCAGGCCGAACAGTTCGCAGTCTCGCATGCCCTGCTGGCCAAGAAGCATGCATGTCTGTGCGTATACCTCCTTTACTCTCGACTTCGCCTGCAATCATATACAAAATTCAATATTAACGCTACGTTTACCGACATTTCTTACACGAAATTCTAACACGAATCACATAAATGATTATTATTATTAGTCAAAGAAGAGAAGTATATTTATCAAGTTTTATATTAAGATGTTTATTGGATGCTGTAAAAATATCGACGCGATTCAAAAACGAAAGGGTTAAAAGAAAAAGAAAAATTCATTATAGACTGCAGCCAAAGTTTGATCTGTTCGATTGGTAAGATGCACGCTGGCATATCTACTTAATAACAATGCGTGGGTGTATGAATATTGTAAACGGTGAAAGCGTACCACATACCAGACTGATTACAATGGTCAACCGTCTTGTGGTAGATTGCAGGCATAGCCTATGGTTGACTAAGGCTATGCCATACGTCTCGCGTACGCCACTTGTCGAACGTGATAACAGAAAGCTGCGTTAATTTGTTGCACTTTATTATCATTTCACGAATACCAGTGAAATACCAGCGGCAATTATTTTCTATTCTTTTTATCGCGAAAAATCATCGGCACCGGTGTACGGCAAGTTGCTGACGGTACAGCACGAACCGGTGCACGGTAATCACGATTTAACCACCGTATAATTATGGAAAAGTCTGCGGCGCAGCCGTGGCCATTGTTCCTCGCTGCGCTCAATGAATTACAGATCCGATGGTAACAGGCGTGCGCGCAAGTTCACGCCGCGATGAATAAAAAAAATAGAAAAAAAGTAAAAAAGAAGCGTGTTGGACACCCACGGATATTCAAATCGCGATTCGCTTTGCCTCGCTTCCTACTCTACCATATTTGCCGCTTCTTTCTTTTTTCTTTTCTTCAACTGAATGCAGGTTTGTCAAAATATCGTGGCGATTCGATCATTATCGAATTAAGTATGTACGTACAAGCGATTAGATTTATCAGATGCAAATGATTCCAGGCTGATCCAGTTCGATACTAACTTATCCAGTCTGATCGAGCTTGATCCGATACAGACGATACCGAACACGCAGAAATCTACCGGTTATCATAAGCCTGCATTAAGTTGATATTTTCAATCCACATGAAATCATGTTATCAGGGCAATAATTGCACAATTTACAACACATGTAATTACGACGAGCGAAGTAATTAACGAATACAGTTCTTCGCTAGCAGTTAAGATTATCGCGATACCATTGCGTCTTATTTGTATCAAAGATAGTTATTTTTATAGAGAACACGATCTAACTCAATTTTCTTATAGTTCAAGACAAGAAACAGCTCAAGTGTAGTTAATATGTAGAATATTATTCGTTCGAAGATTATTTGTAATCGGTTCGAGTAACCTAATGTAATTGAAAGAAGGGTAAAACGATAGCAGAAAAAGAGTAACACGGTTGGATAAATTGTAAAGGAAAATATTATTATTATTGAATTGGGGTATTTTTTTTGGTCCTTTTTCTGAAGCATCAGGCCCGAAGGGAAAGGTTGCCTCATAAATGGTCGCGGTGGAATGCGCGCGCCAAGGTAGAGGAACAATTTATCGCCCCGTATCGAATATTTCGAATCGCTCGACGCATTCCGGCGCCGATCTTGTCCGCACCAAATCTCTACGGGCCACCATAAAATATCCACTGGAACAGGCTGTCGGCTCAGATTTACGGTCGATCCTATCGGTGACCGTTTTACGATTGGCTCTTTCAAACCAGTCACGGCATAGATTCGCGAGATTGACAAAAATATTCACTTCAAAGGATCTTCTTCCTTCTTCCTTCTTCCAAGATTTACTTAGCTTCGAACCGATCGCTAAAACGACTCGTGGCTACCGGCTTACCAGAAAATTCACTCCGATGGAACGGACAAATTAATTGACTTATCTTCCTGCATCTATTTGATCTACATTCTAGTGATCCACATTATACCGATCATTCTACATTCCGATGATTATCTTTCTAACCATCTATCTACCCGTTGTTCTATCCTACTTTGATTTCTTCGGTATACAATCGTGAATCCTATTGTGGTAATAGAATTCCTAATAAATTTCAAATAATAAAATCTTTCATGCATGGTTTTTTACGATTGCTTTGACCTCTCTCTTCAAATTAGGTTTCGTTACATTAACGAACAAGGAAAGTACAATTATGGCTCTCCTACGCTAGAAATTCCAATAAACTCAGAAGATTGGAATGAACGGAAGCAAGAGGTCTCGAACAATAGACGCATTATTTATCTTGCCAGGCTGAAATCTAACCGAACGGTCGCGTCGTTCTTTCTCTAATCGCCGTTTTAATTATCTACTCGGTTATTACGCTATCGCTTCGTTGCAATAAATTAGCATCGAGGCTGGTAACACATACGAAAATAATATAATACCTATTATTGCCATGGGCAATTAATTTAAAAATTCTTTTTTAACGAAGAAACGATACGATTCTATTCTGATTCATCTTTTATCAAGGTTTTGTAGGAAAAAAAAAATAAGAAAAGTTTCTCTACAAGAAACAAAACAATTATCCCAATGTACCTATAGTAATGTATAATAGTTAGTTAATCCGTTAGTAAATGTAAGGAGGCTAGAATGCATGCAGGCTGGTTGATTTGATAGGAGGCCAACATGGAAGCAGGCAGGCAGAACGAGGAATTTCCTTAGCAACCGGGAATTCAGATTCGTCGTTACAAATGAGCCTAGCTATAATTAGGAAGATGGTATCGTGTGAGAAGGTGCGCTACGCTCCGGCATGTCCGCCTATGCCGTGTACATCGTGTAGACCGTGTAGATGGTTTGTCTAACGACGCGAACAGGCAACAGACCTCGAAGTCGAGTAAATCGACGCGGTTGCGGAAACCTTGGCATTGAAATTCTTACCGCCTTCGTTATGCCATGCGTTTTCGCTATTCTACTACGTAACAGGCTTTTGATTTTAAATTAAACGCTTCCGTGGATCTCTTTTTAAATTAAGTATTCAAATGGTGTATACTCGAGATTTGTAGATTCCTAAAATGAAGAATTAATCGCGCTATGTTGTGTGGTGTAGAAATAGAATTAGGGATATTTCTTTGATCAGCCATTCTAGTCTACGAAATGATTCTCTTAGTAAACGACTCTGTTAGAGAGGAGAAGGCAGGTGCATGTACCTTCGCACGCCTTAATATATCGAGTATACTATACGCTGCATCGCTTGCTTTCTCTCGCATCGGTTATTCCACTCTCGCACGCCCACGCTGTGGATGTAACTAATCGCGTTCCTCGATTAGAAAATCCAACCGTGCCCTCGACACCGCGATGCAGTGATGTTCCGATAGAGTCTAGTATTTCGCGGCCATGTAAGCGCAACATACCGTGTGTAGTACCACTGAGATGGCGAAAAATCTAAAGAAATGCACTGAATTTATCAAGAATTTTATTTGAAAGAAGAAGAGAATGAGTTATTAGTAAGGTAACCGATTGGGAGTGTACTCACCTCAACGACGAAGTAAAGAGGATCACCAGGAAGGGCTTGAACGGCGAGATAGCGGCTGGCGGACACCAGGGGTTGAAGGCAGGACCGCGCAGCCGTGACACCGCTACCACGCATGCTGCATGCTTCATTTCGTCGCCGCTACGCCCAGCGTCCTCACTGGAACAATAAAAACAATGTTTACAGGAGTATGCAAATGGAGATCCGTAATCGTGGCGTTTTCAAATATTCCCGCCCTCAGGATCGCTTCGGGGTGGAATTTTCCGGCTGTTCACGATCTACGATCCATTTTCATGTCCGTGGAAGAAGAGGCGATCGGGTCGGGTCGGGTCGGGTCGGGTGGATGGAGAGAAACGAATGGTCTGGCTCGCACCGAGCCAGGCAACCGCTCGTAAATCGACTCTGCAATAAGTCTTATAAAAAAATTCAACGCGGAGGGCATCAGCTTCTCTTCGAGGAATTTTCGAGACCTTCTGGAACCGATTAATCCAAAGAGACCTGCTCTATCATCGTTTTCTTACAATTCCTACTATTCTAACTTCCGATCTGCGAATGCTCGTTTACGATTGATAGATACTGGACGGTGTGGAAGTAAGAAGTAAGTATTCCAAGTTCGGTATTTAAGACTGGTACGGTGATTCGACCACGAGTCGCCACGGTAATCGACGAAATTGACTAATGGACGATCCGCGAGAAAGCAGAAAGGAGGAGAAACCATCTACCCGTGAAGGGATGATCGATGAGATCCATTACCGAGAGACGCGTGCAATCCGCCCACACCCTTTCCCTCCGTCCTTACCTCCTCCATCTAACCCTAACCTCTTCTTCTTTTTCCTCGTACATACTCGTAGCCAGAGTTATCTATTTCTCTTTCTCCGCTACCTCTCGGCTTGCAGCCACGTTGATGCATTTACTCGCTTACCGGTATAACTGCCGCGCCATTATAAAAGCCGGTCTCTCCCTCTCCCTCTTAACCCTGCCCTCTCTCCTCTGCCCCCGTTCCTCAATCCTTTTTCCTCTCTTACCCTCATCCCATCTCCCTCTCCCTCCCGAGGACCTGATAGCCAATGCATTTCGCAGCCGTTCAACCTGCGTCCCTGTAGCATTCTCCTCGCGATCACCGACCCCGTGTACCGACTTCCAAGGAAAATCACGGACAGCGAATTTTTCTCCGCTCCTACACGCTTCCCATAAACACTTTTTCTCATCCTATATCGAGGGATCACCTACCCTACCATGTATTACTACCATGCTATCGAAAAATCTAGTTCAAAAAAAAAAATTATACATATGTGTCAACAGTCAAAATTCCTTCGATATTATCAAGAATACCGGTACCGGTTCCGGTTCCAAGTGGTGCACTTATATGTCATTAGCGAGCCTGCCCGTTTCCATTATCCACGACTAAACCTCTACGTATAACGAGCCATTCGAATGATCAATTGGCACACCATCCAACGATACAGAACGATCACCTCTGCGACAGCACCCACTAGACTAGATGATATCAAGTAGGTAGGTGTAATCGAGCTTGCAAACTAGAAGCGAATTTCAACATTTCTCTCCTACTATTTCCCTGCCAAAATGAAAATGAAATAATTTGAACCTAAATAAGTGGAATGGAAGGGATCGACAACGGGAGCGCCAGCGACTGGTTTTATCGTTCGACCAAGTGCTACGTGCATGCACGTAGGAGGCGGTATATAAACAATGTGAACTACATTCCAGCGGCATGAGTAACCGTATCTTGCGCACTCTCGCCACATCTCGTCCTTTTCTCAGCAACTCAACGACTCAGCAACTGATGCTGCCTGCGCGTACAAATCTAATTACCTAGCAACCTACCTACCTACCTACCGCACCAGAGAGAAGGTGTCGACCAAGCAACCACGACAAACCGACGCTCTTACCTTCATCCATCTTTCCTAACGTCTTAACCCCATCGCGGTAACATTTTTACAAATTTATTTAGTTAAAATTATAATACTTATCTATACGTTCAATCGTTAGTTAATATTCCAGGAAAGCTAACCCGTTTATTAATCAAAATACTTTTTCACACGATTCCCTGTAATCGAATTATTTTCACTCAACGAGCAAAGGATTCAATGGTTAATAACTAATTAACCATTGGTAGTATCGAACTTGTCGTTTTCTCCCTTCTGGTAAGCCGTTAACACGTACATCACTGATACTGTCGCGATCGTTCATGTCCACTTTTACTCGAGTTAACTGAATACTAATGAAAACGTAATGTAACGAAGCCGCCATGCTATCAGATCGATTTCTTCTTATCCTTTATTTTTCTATGAATAACGAACTTGTATATAAGGCGTGATATCGCGGTTAGTGTCTCAGCAACGAGTACGTGTCATTTCAGACCGCAGATGCTGAGTAATTAAACCTATGGCAGAGAGGAATGCGGTTTTCCCGCCTCGATCTCTTCCTACCTACTCTCCTTCATCTTCCGCCGTCTCGTCCTGACGAAACGGTGGAATAGAAAGAGGGAAGTTTCGAGTAAAGGACGTAACAAAGTAACTTGCTCAAGCTGTAACATTGAGTTAATTAACTATTGTAATAATCCAGTTTTCTGGAAAATTATCTCACTCTCCACCCACGTTGCCCTTGCGATTTACTATTCTCGTTATGTCCCTTATTTCACGCGTACATATGTAAACCTAAAGATTTATGAATAATCCGACGGTAAATTGCACGAGCGAACGATTATTAGATCGTAATCGATTCGATCCACGGAACAACCTGTTCTTAATTGCAAAATAATTTCCACTTAACGACGTTTCGATACGGAATATTTATTATCGCAACGAGTTGAAAAAGCCTCGAGCATAGATCGGCTGGTGACGTCCGAACGCGACGAAATGAATACAAGCGGATCGTGGCACGGGCGCGCCTCGTCCGTGACCAATAAAATACTTTCGTGAAACGCATACATGCCCAAATCGATCGATCGATCATTCTCTTTCGTCTAGCATCGATAAGATTTCCATTTATCACGCGACACGACTCGCGTTGTAATCAATTTTTTTAATAACCTTATAAATAAATGTTTTATCATCGTTTCCTTTATTTCAAGCGTTTTAATTAGAACGATTAGGACGGTTAGGACAATAGAGTACCGTGTTTTATGTAATTCGCTAGAATGTTCCCTGCAATGCACACCTTTTACACAGCTTAACGTGTTACATGAGCAACTCGTGACGTGGGTGCTGGCGCTAACAAGCAGCCAACGCAACGCGTGGAATCGCTAATGTGTAAGTAAATTGTTTAGGTGAACAAACAAGTTTGCCAGCTCTCTATAAGGAACGCAATGCTTCCAATTACTCTCACGATTATCAATCTAATTACTTCTTACGAACCGACTATCCCTCCAATTTAGTATTTTTTTTATTCCCTTAATTTTCCTCAAATTATCCTTGCAAATATCGATATTTTGTCTAAGCAAAATCAGATGTATTTATTCGTTAATTATCAATCTAATTACTTCTTACGAACCGACTATCCCTCCAATTTAGTATTTTTTATTCCCTTAATTTTCCTTAAATTATTCTTGCAAATATCGATATTTTGTCTAAGCAAAATCAGATGTATTTATTCGTTAAATTACGGCTCTCTTCACCGTGTTTTCTGAACGCCACGTATTCCATTCTAATGGGAAGCAATGAAAAAGAGGAGGAATGAAAGAGCCATAGGTTAGCGTGGAATTTATTTCGACGATAATCATAAGGAACACCCGCGCTCTCAGCTAGGATCGGGGAACGCGGAAGTGCGTACGTTTACGTTCAACGGGTAGGTTTGTATAGCCACGGACGTGCATAACCCATGGAAGGCTCCGTAAGATGTAAGAAGCGGTTGTCGTGCAAACAACGCATTCTACGATAGTATGCAGGAAATGGTTGTCGTTGGTACCGTAAACACTGTCACAGACCTATACGAGATCCGATATATCTGCTCTTTGACTTAATATTTACCGGTATGATTTATATCTCTAATCTCTTCGCAAAAGGAACGTAACTCTTTACTCCAAAGAATTCTATAACGAAACACGATCGATCCCATCAAAAATTTCTTTTCCTTCTATTAAGTATCTGAAATATCTGACGACATTCGATTTCGACTTCGTCAAAGTTAAATAAAACGAATACTACACTATCGTGTATCCTACAATCTCCTACTAAATCGATGATAAGACAGTTGAAGACAGTCTGGGTCAATAATAACTGGCTACGCGCTGATAAGAATCATTCTCGTGTTTTATTTCATCGCGAGTACTCGTCAGTCGTTCGTGACACTCGTAACCGAAAGCGAGTGAACGAAAGTAACGACGAGGGTATAGGAGTACACGTTTTATCATTTGAAAATTGATAAATGACACTAATGAGTATACAGTGGCAATCACTATTAATTATTTATTGAAATTCAGTTTTCGTGTTTCGAAGATCGAAAATTTTAATATGATTACATTGGGAACGGCAGATTACGCGGTGATCGTACTAACGATGCTGATTAGTACAGGAATCGGTGTGTACTATTGGCGAACCGGTGGAAAAGAAAAATCGACGGAAGTAGGTGTTAACGAGTCCTTTTTTCTCGAAAAGAAAGTAAACAATACTCGTGTAATTTGATGGCAGGAATATTTCGTGGCGAACAGATCGATGCGAGTGGCACCGGTTGCGATTGCTTTAACGGTTTCCTACCTATCCGCGGTCAGTTTGCTCGGAGTCAGTTCAGAAAATTACCTTTATGGTAGCCAGTACGCTGTGATCAATGTCGGATACGGACTCGCTACTCCGATAGTCGCATATTTCTATATGCCGGTGTTCTTTAATCTCGGATCAGCCAGCGCTTTCGAGGTGAGTCTCTATTTCTTTTTTTCCTCTACGAAATCTTATATACCTAATACACTTTCAGTATTTGCAACAACGTTTCGGAACAGCTGCAAGGTTGGCAGGTAGCTTTGCTTTTCTTCTTCAGCTGCTTCTGTACAGCGGGGTCGTGTTGTACGCACCGGCGCTTGCCCTCGAAGCTACCACAGGAATCTCGACGACCGCCAGCGTAATCCTCATAGGACTGGTCTGTACATTTTATTCGACGATCGGCGGTATCAAGGCAGTGTTGATCACCGATGTATTTCAAAGTATCTTGATGCTGATTGCCGTTATCGTGGTGATCGTCACGGAAGCGGTGGACGTCGGAGGATTAGATGAAATCTGGGAGATCGCGCGCGACGGTTCGCGGATAGAATTCGACAAGTAAATGAAACTACAAATTCAAGAGAACAAGTTTCCATAAATTGCAACATCGATTGTTCGATTGTTGAAAATATATGCGAAACATATAGGCTTTCCTCTAGCAACATTTGTTTCAAGAGGAATTCAAAGCTTTAATACTGACGACAATGGTGTGTGCATTCATTCAGCATTTCAATGGACCCAACGGTACGACACACCTGGTGGAGCTTGACATTTGGCGGTTTCTTCACCTACCTATCCTTGTTTGGCAGCAACCAAGTTCAAGTTCAGAGAATGTTAACCATCAGGTGAGTAGCATCGACTCGAATTTTCTACCCTCAACTGACTAGTACCGCGTGTATAACTTAATAATAATAATAGAGATGAAAAATGTTAGCGTCGAAGGATTTCAGAAATTTGAAAGACGCGAGATCAGCGATCTGGTGGAGTTGGCCATTGTCATCGATCATGTCTTTGGGGCTTTGTTTCTGCGGCTTGGCGATATACGCTGAATATCGTAACTGCGACCCCCTCGAGATCGGAAGGATCACTTCGTACGATCAATTAATGCCCCTCTATGTGATGGACATGCTATCCACGTATCCAGGTATACCCGGTCTTTTTATAGCCGGCATCTTCAGCGCTGGACTGAGTACTATCTCCGCCACGGTGAATTCCCTCGCAGCCGTTATACTCGAAGATTTTATCAGACCGGTATGCCGTACAAGGTAAGAGTCGTAAAATCGCGGAATCAAGCCGAATTTATGAGGCGTTTGTCAATTATTCATTTTATACTTGTAAATTAGATTACTAACCTAAATTTCGCTAACAAACGCTCGGTTCGCCAATTAATTTTCGAATAGCATTTCTTGTTAGCTGAAAGAAAATTGTTGATATCGTTTCAGAGGAAAAGATATGAGCAGAGCAGAATCAATGGTTATTAGTAAAATTCTAGCCCTGATAGTAGGTGTTGCTTGCATAGCTGTGGCTTTTATGTCCCGCTATCTCGGAGGATTGCTTCAAGCCGCGTTGACGATTTTCGGTGTCGTCGGAGGACCTGTTTTGGGTCTATTCACGCTTGGTATGTTCACGGAAAGGGGTAATCAGCCAGGAGCTGTGATCGGTCTGATGATCAGTTTGATTTTCTCTCTGTGGATCGGATTCGGTCAACCGAAGCCACCGATTCCGAACAAGGTGCAAGCTACCGAATGCAATGTCACTTTCTATCACGATTACGAGGAATCGTTGAATTTACATTTTCAGAACGGGTAAGCAATTTCCCACCCTCCCCGCCATTAAACTTAACGTTCTCTCCTCGTAGACGCAGGAATACTTATTGATTTTTTCCAAGTTCCAAGCTTCTGATATTCGCACAGCGACGCGGCACATTACATTACACTAATACCCGTTCTACGTATGCAATTTAATGCAATTTAATGCAATTTAATGCAATTGCTTGCCAGGAGAGCAGCAGGCCAGCAGGCAAATAAGTCGTCTATCTATTACAGGGAGAGTAACGATGATTCGTACTTCTATCTCTACCGCATTTCGTACATGTGGTACTGTCCGATCGGATCTGTACTCAGTTTCGGAGCTGGATGGATCTTTAGCTGGATCTTCGATCGAATCTCTAAGGAAGAAAGAAAGGAATTGAATCCCGATCTATTTACCCCTATTTTGGCATCGAGAGTGCGCAAAAGACGATCGAAATACATCAATGAATTTCATAGCAATATCTCCTGATGAACTCATCCAAAATCGTTCATTTATACCGGACAGATCGCCACTCTCGTAATTGGCCTTCACCTAAATACAAGTCGAGCCAAGTCTGAATTCGACAAACCGGACACGTGTCCTCCTAAAGGAGCTAACTATTAACATTGTTTCTGATCTATCTAAATAAAGGAAAATCATTATTGTAAAATTCTAGCTTTGGTTCTTCTTAGGATTTCCCTATGCCCTCCTCATTAGGACAATTTAGCTAAGGAGGGCAAAGCTCTGGCCGAGTTGTTCTCTTTCTTGCAACGAGGCAGACGTAAACACCAGGGACGAAGGCACGGGTGTGCTCGGTTGGACGTTTACCGAAACGTTCGCAAATCACGATGGAATGCCGTCAGACTGGTGTTCCCGTGCACGGCACACGGCACACGGCACACGGCACACGGCACACGGCGCACGGTGACATACAGAACGAAGCAACGACCCGTGCAATGTGCACCGCTTACGTAAAGAAATAACGCTTGTTGACCGGAGGACCACCTCGAGAATTCGTTTCAATTTCGACACAGTGCGATCTTCGTTAATTTATAGATTGCCAGTTGAAAATCTACCGACAGCTTCGATGTTTGACTTTCATTGATGTTTTCACAAGAAGGCATACCTTTACGCGCCGCCATCAATCGTTGAGCAACTACTATCTCCTCGTCGTAATTGCGTTACGCAATTCGCGCGCGTTCCGGTCGCTTCGACGCTAATTTAGCAAACAACCAACAGTACCACGATTATGTAAGGGTGACGAATTCGTGGGATGCTTTCGGTAAAAGATCGGTAGGGAAATTCTGACGATTCGAGAAAACTGAAAAATTTTCTCTAATCCAGTTAATAGACTACTCCAGAAGAGATTAAAGTCGGAAGAATTATTGGACTATCCGTATCGGTATTCGATAGGTATTCCTAATAATTTGTCTCGGACGGAAAACAATGAACCAGCGATACACCTTTATTTTCCACGGAACTAACTAATTCCAAGCTAAGAAACGTGCTTATCACCACGGATATGACTTGTCTAATGTTCCCCGTAATTAAATGAAATAATCGAGTGGTGGCGTTGCATCGCCTTCGTTATAATGCCGTACATTCCACGGATGAAACGACTCTTTCTCTCGGCACGTAGTGTATCCACATGGAATACGGAATGTACAAATGATGGATTACATGGAAATTTACACTACCGTTCCATTTTAATTACACCCAGTAATTTCGTTATTTCCGGATTTCGAGGTACAGCTATATTTTAAATAAAAAGTCAATTTTCATTATATAATAAGTAAACGTGAATTCAAAGCGATAATTAATAAATTTATTAATTACACCATTGCGTCGGCGTCGGTATCGGGGACCGATAGCGCGCTGGTATTTGCATGGAAATCCCCATAGGGTATGGGGTAAACACCGTGGATACAAGCATCGAACCGATAGATTTTTTTCGACCTCAGTAAAGTTGTAGGTACTTACATAGTTTCCATGTGGAGGCAGCAACCGTACCGTTTCCTCATACCTTGCATACGTGCCTAACGAGCAACTCGGGTATAATGCACATAACGCCATTATAATAAACATCGTACTCGCTCATTCACGCTGAGAGAACGTAAGCTCGTGACCGTGTTGGTGCACACTACATACTTTATACTGCACAGTCCACGCACAAGCCTACGTTCACGCCGGCACTGTATTTTATTTTTGCTCGAATGCACTGAACCGAGGAGATGCATACCATTCCTTGTGAAATTTATGCTGAACAGTATTTTTCGTCGGGGACGAGACAGACCACGTATACTCGAACCAACGAAGCTTGCTCTTGCCTGACCAAGATTCTCCTCCATATAATCTCTATTTATTTTTATCGATCCAAGCTTTTCTTAATAAAGTAAAAAAAATGGACACCTAACTATACATATTGAAGTTACAAGTCATTACTCTAATAATAATTAATTTCTATATTATCTGAAAATCAATGTATGTACATACATTAACGTTGTCTTCATTACCCTAACAATGGTATAACCGAGTAAATCAAGCCATAGTAACTGCTACACAAAGCAAGCTACGTTATGAAAGATTCATGAATATTCATCGAACGATGCATTGAGGTGTTCCCATAGTTATACCTAATGTTCGATTCAATCGATGATAATGATCATAAGAGAAACACAAAGTTCAATGTACAAAGCTACGAAAACACGTTACGCGGGAATATTTCGCTATTACGATAATATTGAAAAGAATTTTCGACGATCAAATTATAACACGGAAATGATTATTTCCGGTTATATTATTATGGATAAAGCGAATGATGATCTTTCTGGATATACGTTTGAGCAGGATTCATATTATCCGTATCTGATAGAAAAATTTACAATTAGACTCTTTCCAATTCGCGTACTGCCGTCTAATAAACTAATAACAAGGATAGAATCAAACTGGCGAATCTTTATTATCGTTAAATAATAGATAGCATCGATCAAGCGGTATGGAATCTCTTCGTCTAAAATTTTCCCGATCGACGAAGATCGATGCTGGTTCGTTGATCTGAATCCGTACGAGCGAAAATGATTCATACGTTTCAATTATTCAAGTGGTCGATACAACATTCACGATACTCGATACTCGATACTCGATACGGATAAAACCTGTTTGCTCGAAAATAAATGCATTTCGTTCATAGAACTCGTAACGTAACTTTATGTTAATTATTAATGAATTCTTATCCTATTTTCTTTCCTTTGATGTTTGATATGATTTTTTTCAACAAGAGTTCAAAGTACTCCGTGTAATAACAAAATATTATAACAAGTTAAACTTGAAAACACTGAGTTTCTGGCTGAAAAGCAAAGTCGAATCGCAAAGGGTTAACAGGTATCGCCTCGATGCCGTAAAAACGAAACAACAAGTCTTGTAAAAAGAAAATTTCAAACAAAACTCGCGTTTCGTCTTACGAAACAACTTCCAGGCGCCACACACCTTCGCTTATTCAAACTTGACCTTCTCCTCGACATTAGAATTAGGATACTTTTTATTATATATTATAGCGTGATGTAAGCTTCATCTTTGCGTAATCGATGTAACATGCGTTGAAACAAATTACATAATCTTATTTAATACACTCGATATACGTTATTTTTTCCCTATTTTCTCATTTTACCAACTTGATAATTCTAGCATTAAAGTCCTTATTATACTGTTATTGAAAAATCATATTCTATCGTATTATAATCTTACCTAGATTCTCCCGTTCTCCGAATCCTCCGCCTGCGGCTCGCACAGCTGCACCTGCAACAGAAATAAGTTTCAGATGATAGCGTTCCACCTGTACGAACTCGATTCCAGAAACGGAAAATTAAAAAATATCGCTACATTGAACTTCACCGTAATAATCTGAATGAATTAAATGAATATCTAGTAAAATTTGATCATTTTCATCGAAGGTTAAGCTCGAAATGAACAAGTGCTATTTACAGTATAACATAATCCCCGATATAAAATCGTTCTTTCTAGTCGGACAAATCGGTGTAATTTAATCGACAGTAAGACCGAGAAAGCTGCAACGAAGTATGCCGCGATGTTACGCGCCCGGTACACAGGATCCTGAAGAGAAGAGGCACGGTCGCGGTGGCGAGCGAGCGAGTTTAACGAATCTGAAGCAAAAGAGAGAGAAGAAGCGGACCGGGCCGTCTCGGCCAAGTATTCCAGGTTAATTTTACCGAGCCCTAAGGAGCGCATGCGAAGGACCGGCGTGGAGCGGCGTGGCTTGCCCTGCCGTGCCGTGCCGTGCCGTGCTGTGGCGTGGCGTGCCGTGCCGTGGCGTGGCACGGCCAGGCGAAGGATAACGCTAGCAGGGCTCATCGGTTGGACGGTGCTCCAAGCGAACGAAGGACGCCCGCATTCCACGCCGCAACCTGGTATATAATACGAGGAATTGGCCGAACAGAAGAAGAGAGAAACAGAGAGGTAAGGAACGAGCTTTTTCTCTGCCAGAAGAAGAGCAAGATAACTGAAGGGAGAACGGAAAGTAAGAAGAAGACGAACAAGGACGTACAACTGACAGAGAGGTGGTTTCGAGTAGTAAGAAAGGGGTAGTTGCGTCTGCATTATCCTTTTCGCATCCTCTTCATCTGATTTCCCTTCGTCATACGTACGAATAGTAAGTAGACCAAGTATTCCTCTTATCCGTTTCCGCTTCATTAGTAACCATTCATTTCTTTTTTATTTTCGCTATCTCTAAATCAATATTACTTCCTCCCTACTGATCTCGTGACGAGCTCTCTATTTTCACTCCAACACTTTCTAACCATGCTAAAAAATAACTTGTTCACGCTGCAAAAGTAGTGTTCCATTGAACCTCTTCTTACAAGGGAACATACCGAACCATGTTAAAGGGGGTGAAAATTACCGCAGTAGTTTCCGAGATATTCGTCAAAATACCTATATGTTTTGCATCCCCAACATTGAGAGTAATTTTTACCCCTTTAACACGGACGATGGCCGATATAAAAAAATACGTGTGAAATATTTTTACGAGAACTACATTATACATAAGCGGAAGTAAAGCAACGCGCACAGCGTATAGCGCGGAGTGCTATCCCGAGACAGAGGATTCAATGGTAGGCGCGTAACCGAGATTGCTCGTTTTGCCAGCAGGCAGCTGCAACTGGCAGCTCGCCCTTATCGTCGTCCTGGCTTTCGCCAGTTTGCCAGGACGCGACGGCTTCGTGCCGACAGAGTCACCATGATAAAATTTCGTATAATAGGAAATTAATAACGGAGATCGCGAAGGGTAGAGCAAGTCTATGGAATAAAGGTAGAGGCGTGTACGCGGTATTATTCGTAGCTGTCCAGTTAAGCAGAGGAGTCCCCTGATGGGATTATAATGTGAATATAATGGCAAGCTTCCGCACTACGCAACCCTTTCATCTCCCACTGCTGCGGTCTGCCTTAACCTTCCTTCGAAAACCCTTTCTACCTCTACGAAAACTTGAATCGACCATTCCGACGATTTTCTGGAGCTTAAGCCAGCTGACATATTTTTTTTTTTTTATTTATGTCACCCGACGCAATATGATTGAATAAAATGAAAAGAAAAAAGAAAGACAGATCTGTTGAAAATATTCCAGGTTGCCTCGCCTCGCCTCGCCGCGCCTCGCTTCG